TCCATTGTTCTCCCTGTTTCTTGGGCTTGTTAACTTTTCAAAACCAACCCAATGGCCTGGGTGTGGGGACCTTAAAGAATTGCAGAGGTCGTTGTTATTGTGATTATTTCAGTTTAGGTCTCCTTCAGGCTCGTCTAGGAGGCTAATAGTACCTTCTTTGTATTTTACATGTGAAAGCAAATTAAACCTTTCCTGGATTGCAAACACCCCTCACCCCACCCACAGCCGCGCCCGCACGGGCAGGTCCCTGATAGTCTCTGGATGTTTCCTTTTTGCTAAATCCTTTCACGGTCCCACCCGCTGTGCCTCAGCCGGGTCCAGCCGCTTTCAGGTGTCTCAGTGGGATCTCGCCGCTGCCCTTCCCCCACCCCCAAAGGTCTCCTCCTGGCCCATCAGGGCCGTCAAGGGGACTAAACCCCACCCCGCCCCGCCCCTGCCTCTCCCCATGGCTCGTGCCTGCCTGGTCAGGGACCACGCTCAGTTTCAACCGTATCCTGCTACCTAGGGCCTGTCTTCCTGGGGACATGCCCAGCGTCTGACCCCTGGGCCAAGGGAGGCTCCTGGCCCACTGAGGTGTGGGTCTGGGTCTTGGAACCTGGCACGGCCCAGACCCATCACCAAAGGGTTTGGAGACACTGTGGCCTGGCTGCTGGGCTCGACCCATGGACAGTGGCTGCCACAGAAGGGACCCTAAATGGGTAGCCAGCCTCCTAGCAATGGACGGAGGAGGAGGGTTGGGAAACCAGGTTGAGCTGGAAGCAGGGGCTGGGCCTTCTGACTTCGGACCTTAGCCCTGGGGGTGGGGGTCCTGCCTCCCTCAGCCGAGGAGGCCCAGCCACTCAGGAGCTCCATTTCTAATGCTCTTTTCTGTCTGTGATCCTTGGGACCTTCCAGGTTCTTCCCTGGATGGTCAGCCTCGTCTCCTGCCACTTCACATCTCCCACTACCTTGAAGACTCTAAGCCTGGAATGTTTAATACTTGCAGGTCACATCGGCCCCTCCCTGGCTTATTAAACCTGGGTCTTCGGCAACACTATTCACCCAAATGCCTCCATAACCACTGGGACACAGGCCTTTGGGAGAAAAGCAAAACCTGTTTTCTCAAGGCCTAAGTGAGGCCCGGGTTTGCGTTTCTCGCCTGTCCCACGCCCTCCCTCCTGAGAGTCCCCACGCACGCATTTCCATCTGCGCTGCTGATGCTCTTCCAGCCCTACGTCCGCCGAGCTGGCTCCCCTCTGACCCTCAAGTCCTCCTGTCTGCGGGACCTTGTAGGATGGGAGAATGAGACCATCAAGCTGCCTGATAAATGCTGGGAAGGCAGAGGTGAAGCATTCATCATGAGAGACCCAACAGGAAGGTATTCATCCGATGGAAACGGTGGTATTTATCAGACACTTACTATGTGGGGGCCCTGAGTCTGGGGCAGCTATACTTGTTTTGTTGCCTGTTAACAAGCAACCGCAAACTCAGTAGCTTAAAACAACGCCCATTTACTTATTAGCTGTAGGTCAGAAATCCAGGCTGCATCCTGGCTTTGGGTGCCACAAAGGCTTCAGTCAAGTTGTGGGCAGGGCGGGGCCCTCACCTGGAAGCTCTGGGGAAAAATCAGCTTCCCAGCTCATTCAGGCTGTCGGCAGAATCCAGTTCCAAGCAGTTTTAAGACTGAGGGTCCCTGTTTTCTTGCTGGCTGTCATCCAGGGCTCTTCTCAGGTTCTGGACCCTACCGTCACCCCCGTATTCCCTGTCACATGGCCCCTTTCACCTTCAAAGGCCCCAGAGTCCTCCTAATTCAAGCCTCTCTGCTTTCCTCTTCTGCCTTTAGGACCTTGCTGATTACTCTGGGCCTATCCAAACAGTCCAGAGTCATCTCCATATTGTGAGGTCAGCCGATTAGTACCCTTGATTGTATCTGCCACATTACAGGGATCTGGGCAGGGCATCTTGAAGGGGGACATTTTTAGAATTTTGACCCCTTCCATGAGAATACTTACGATGCCCCAGAATCCAATGGAATCAGGTCCAGGGCAGGGTGAAGCGGCTGTTGCCACCTCTATTCCTCTTTAAGTTGTAGGGGCAGCAACTGTCTGTCAAGGTGAAGGACAGACATGACCGCTGTCCTCAAAGGCCCTGTGACAGAAGAAAGGGGGAAACTTGAGGTCGGGGAGTTCCCCTGGGGGAGGTGATAACAGCTGATCCGTGTGAGGTGCTACAGAGGGAACTGCACAGGCCGGCCTTGAGGGGGGCACAGCGAGGGGCCTATGAGGCCAGAGAAGAATGACCAGTGACAGGAAATGGGGACCAGAAAGACCCAGCGGGGTCACTGAGGTTGAATGTGGCAGACACAGTGGACCAGGCACGCCATCACGAGGGGCCCACATTCTGAACAAGGACAATGAGGTCAGTAGTCCTGGGTTTGGATGAGCTTCCTCGGGCGGGTCGTGGGCCACAGGAGGGGCTGCCAGTGGGGAAGGTGATTCCTGGCCTCGCATATTCCCTGCCCTCCCCTGCTTGACCTTCAACACATCTGCACCAACCACCGCTGTGGTAAACAGGCACTCTGACCTTGTCTCCACACAGAAGGCTGAGCAGCCACCTCCCGACAAGATGGACTCCACGCCTGCTGCATAAGGCTTCGGGCCCACTGAGGTCCCCGTGGGGATCTTCTGGTCTTTGGCGTCTGGCTGCACACCACCCTCCTGCAGAGGTAACACCCACCTCAACCCCCACTCCCTTTCTTTCACCTCTCAGTTCCCTAAGCCTTCATTTAATGGCTCGCTCGCCCTGGGGCAGGAGGGCGGAGGAGAGCATCCAATCAGGTTGTCTTCACCTTCCACCTGGGACCCAGGCTCAGGCACAGGGCAGAGGCGGGCGCCAAGGCCGGGTGGGGTCTGCTCCCCCACCCCACTCGCGAGCCCTACTCCTGCTTGTACTCATGTTATGGGTATAAAGCCTCCTCCTCCTGGGGTCGCAGCGAGTGTCAGGCGTGCGCGAGCTCTGGCTGCCGACCGCCTTCGCACGCGTCAGGGCAGCGCACGGGGGCGTGGCCCGCGGATGGCAGCACAGGCCCCGCCTCCGCCCCGTCTCTAGGGCGACGCCGGAAGCGTGGCACAGCCCAGAGATTCGTCGTTGCCCCCAAGTCGCTGCTTCTGAGACTTCAGTTTCCCCAGAACGGCTGCCTGGCGGCAGCGGCGGCGACTAATCGCTGTAGAAATACCGGAAACGTGCTCCCGCCTATCGCTTCCCAGCGCCGCAGCGGCTGCGAACTTCGGTTCCGCCGGAGTCGCGGCCCGGAAGTGCGGCCCTGGCAGTGGTAAGCCGGAGGCGGCTACGGCCGGGTCCAGTGCCTGAGGAGGAGTCGGAGGTGGGGTCGGGCGGGCATCCCCCGGCCGCAGGGCCGGCGGGGAGGCCGGGGCGTGTCAGGAGAGGGACCCCGGCGCCAGGCTTGGAGCGCACGCTGCGGGGGCGCTGCAGGGTGCGGGCGGGGCGCGGACGCGGGAGACGCAGGTTTTGCAGGCTGCAGCGGGTGCAGCCGGTGCGGACCAGAGAGGGGCGCTGGGCTCGGGGTAGGGTGCACGCAATGGCGCAGGGCACGGGAGAGGGCGCTCGGGGCTCAGTGTGCGGCGTTGTCAAAGGCGTGGCATCGGGAACGCGGCGCGAGCCCGGGAGGGATGGCTCGGGGGCCGTGTCCTCAGGTGGCCTTTGTTTCGAGGTTCCTGGAAGGCCCTGCTGCCTCTGGACCGAGGACTCGGGGCCTCACGGGGAGCAGGGAGGGGTGAATCGGAAAAGGAAGGGTCAAGCCCTGAGGATTGATGCACAGGTTTCTGTCCCATCTCCCGAGCGCGCACTCGAAGTCCTTTAGATGCTGTGTGAATGGAAACAGGAAGGATGCTTGTGGAAGAGGCAACGGCGCTTGCAGAGTTGACTCGTTCGTGGAATTGCCAAGGACTCTTCGCACAGATTGGGGGTGGGGGGCTGTGAGCAGAGGGTCCCCATCGGTTGAGAGTTAACAGGCTCCCTCTGGCTGTTGCGTGGGGAATAGACCGGGGAGGGGAAGCGAAGAGGTCACTGCATCGGTCCAGGCCAGCGGTACTGGGGCAGTGGAGGTGTGTAAGGTGGTCTGAGGGGTCTGGTCCCAGCAAAGGCGATTTGGGCTTAAAGAGCAGGACGGGATGAGTCTAAGACCCCAGTAGACGCTGAGGCCTTACTCTGGGGCTGCGTGACTCTGCTTGGGATAGACTGGTTTCAGGGTGCATCCTGTGTCCCGCCCGATTCTCCTCCCCTAGACTGGAAATGTGTGGCCTGGGTGTGGGATGAGCCAGGTATCCCGTTTCTGTTTGATAGAGGGAAAGCAAGTTGAGTGGGCCTGGTGGCTGCTTGACAGGTGAAGTAGCAGATTTGCTCATACTCCCAGAGTCCCTTGGTGCCTGACAGTGGGCACTGCTGGGTTTACGAGGCCACGGATTGACAAGAAGCGTCAAGATTGCTCAGCCATGCTCCACCTGCTCCCACCCAATCCCACGCCCCTGTGGAGGCCACGCAAGTCCCCTCTCTGTGCCCCACAGACCCCATCTATCTTCCAGGAAGCACCAGGCTGCTATGCTGTGGTGTGCCATTTTCCTCCTGTAATGCGCAATGTACTCTGAACCTTTTTGTGACTCTGCACACTCCGCATCACTGAGGCCGATAGGCAGGTGGAGCCACCCCACTTTGGGAAGACCTCTTTGTACCCTGGTTCACAACCCGGTTACGAGGCAGCAGAACTGGGTCTGCACAGGGCTTTGGATGCTCTCCGGTGGGGGGTGTGCCAGGGCAGGCTGAGAGAAGCCACGAGTGGAGGGAGTTGCATCCGCCCTGGTGGACAGTGAGCCAGTTCTGGGTGCGGGTCTCTGCCTCCTTCTCCACAGGGCTGTCCCTGGAGGGGGATGTGGGGCAGGCAGACAGATGCTGGAGTTGGGGTAGGGGTCGGGGAGAATGGGCCAAGACAGGAGAAGCCAGTCCTGGACCCTCCCCTGGAGGAGGGGGAATGGTAGACCTTTGACATTCTCACCCCTTTGACATTCTCAGCCGCAGTGGTCTGCTGGAAACTGCGGAGATGGAGAGACCAGCAGAAGCCCCAGAGTGCGCGTGCGCGCGTATAGGGTCGCGCCAGGTCCTGTGTGCTGGGCGGAGTGCTGCGAGGGTCCCGCGGGGAGAGCTGGGGTTCGCCCCTGGGCCCTGTCCTGAGGCAAAGGCTGAAAGGACAGGGACACTACAGCAGAGGGCACTCCCTTTCTGACCTCCCCCCTTCCTCCCCCTCCTCCGGTGTAGATGGCGGCGGCGGAGGCCGTGCACCACATTCACCTGCAGAACTTCTCCCGCTCGCTGCTCGAGACTCTCAACGGGCAGCGACTGGGCGGGCACTTCTGTGACGTGACCGTGCGCATCCGCGAGGCTTCGCTGCGTGCGCACCGGTGCGTGTTGGCGGCCGGCTCACCCTTCTTCCAGGACAAGCTGCTGCTCGGTCACTCCGAGATCCGCGTGCCACCGGTGGTGCCCGCGCAGACAGTGCGTCAGCTCGTCGAGTTTCTCTACAGCGGCTCACTGGTGGTGGCGCAAGGCGAAGCACTTCAGGTGCTCACGGCTGCCTCAGTGCTGCGCATCCAGACAGTCATAGACGAATGTACGCAGATCATTGCCCGCGCCCGCGCCCCTGCCCCAGGCACCCCGGCGCCCCCGCCCCTGCCCACACCTGTGCCCCCACCACTCGCGCCTGCGCAGCTGCGCCACCGCCTGCGCCACTTGTTGGCCGCGCGCCCCCTGGGCCATCCAGGTGCGGCGCACAGCCGCAAGCAGCGTCAGCCCGCGCGCCTGCAGCTTCCTGCGCCCACCGCGCCCGCCAAAGCGGAGGGGTCTGCCGCAGACCCCGCCCTGCCTGCGGGTCCAGATGAGGGTGGTGACGATGAGGACGAGGAGACCGAGGACGACACCGAAGGCGAGGACGGCGAAGGCAGCGGCCCGGGCGAGGGCCAGGCGCCCCCTTCCTTCCCTGACTGCCCCGCAGGCTTCCTAACCTCCGCCGCTGACAACGCGCGTGAGGAGCCCCCGGCGCCCGCTGGCCTCTCTGACTACGGCCCTGGGCGGGACTTCTTTCGGGCGCCTCCGGCGGCCGAGGACGTGTTCCCCGACAGCTACGTCTCCGCGTGGCAAGGGGAAGAGGGCACAGCCGTGGAAAGCTGTCCCACTGAGGCCCCGGCTCCACCCGACTGTGTTGTGTCGGGACCCCGCCCGCCTGCCGTGAAGACCCCAGGGCCTCCCGTAGCCCTTTTCCCCTTTCATCTGGGTTCTCCGGGGCCACCGGTACAGCACCCTCTCCAACCCTCCGGGCCAGCCCCTGCACCTCCCGCCACCTTCTACCCTGCGCTCCAGCCGGAGGCGGCCCCCAGCACGACTCTGGGGGAGCCCCCGGCCCCGGCCGCTGCTCGCGCCCCTGCCCCTTTGGCCCCTTCTGCGCAAACCGCGGGTTCCCAGCCGCCCACTTACGAGTGCAGTCACTGCCGCAAGACGTTCAGCTCACGGAAAAACTACACCAAGCACATGTTCATCCATTCCGGTGAGCCGCGGAGGGTCTCAGCCGAGTCATTGGAGATCTAACCTGAGGCGGGATGGGGGTGGGGCGGTGAAACCGTTCTGTTGTTCCGTTGCTGCTCGTTGACTCTAGAGAAACCTGGAAATTGAGCCCCCGGGGACTAAACGTGTGGGGTGTGCGGGTGTGGAATGCGTCCTAAGGCTGGGTTGTGAGGCAGGAATCTACCCAGAGCCTTTGGACACTGACTGCGGCCTTCACTCACCAAGACTGAGCTGGGGATGAGCAGGAGGGATGGAGTCCTGGCGGTCCTGCCGGTGGTGGCGGCAGGGTCAGGTTGGGGAGCGGTGCTGTGGGCACCTTCGTGGGTCTACTTGGGTGTTAGTGGGCCCAGGGACTGGGACTGGTACAAGGCAGTTGTGGCTTCACTGGCCTTGGGGAAGCGTGGGAAGCAAGCACAGAGGTAGCCTGATGGGGCTGGAGGAGAGACATGGGGCTCCCCAAGGCTGCAAGGCTGGCCCTCAGCAGGGTCGGGAGGCGGGCTCGCAAGCTGACGGGGGTACCCGAAGAGTGTCAGGGTGTGTTGGTCTGCGGATTGCGGGGCCAGGGGCTGAGGTGGTGGCTGGTCCTGAGTGTGTCACAGGATTGGTGCGGGGTCTCCTGCGGAGCGCATGGGCATGGGACGCCAAAGGCCGAGGTGGATGCTAAGAAAAGCAAAGATTTGTCGGGAAGGCCAGTGGCAGCAGCACGCGGAGTTCCGCTGGGCCTGGAGGTTGGGGTCTTACTGGGCTTGCTGGCGGGGAGGAGGCCATCGATGTTCGGAGACGCTGTGTGAGGTCTGAGCTGTGACTTACAGTTTAAAACCCCCGCCTGCAATCTCCAGCTGGCCTTCTCGGGGAGGAAGGACGGAGAGCGGGGGCCCCAGAGCAGAGCCAGCCAAGATTTGCCAGCTTTGTGTGGCCTTAGCCAGGGGCCAGGCCTGGCCGGGGCGCCAGAACCCCCTCCCAGGCGCTGCCCCGTCGCCGCCGGCTGCCGAGAAAGGCTTTTTGTTTAGGCCCGACGACTCTAGGGGCCAACACGGGGAAGGACACGGGCTCGTCCCAGTGGGTAGCAGCCATGTCCCACACCGGCGGGGCCCCCTCCTGGTAGGGGACCTGTCGGAGTTGGGGGACCCTGCCCGTCCCTGGGATGCTGGTATGACGAGGGTCTGGGACACTTGGGGGGGATCCTTGTTGGACAGTATGGTCTGGGAGTGGAGGGTGGCCCCGGAATGTCCCTGCCAGGCAGGGGGGTTCCGGGTTGATGGTTGGTCCTGGAGGGGAGGGGAGTCCCCGCTGGCGAGGGTGCCCCGGGGTCTCTTTCCCGCTGACATAGGGTCGGGCCCGCCCCTGTCGCCCGCAGGAGAGAAGCCCCACCAGTGTGCCGTGTGCTGGCGATCTTTCTCGCTGCGTGACTACCTGCTCAAGCACATGGTCACGCACACGGGCGTGCGCGCCTTCCAGTGCGCGGTCTGTGCCAAGCGCTTCACGCAGAAGAGCTCGCTCAACGTGCACATGCGCACACACCGGCCGGAGCGCGTGCCCTGCCCCGCCTGCGGCAAGGTCTTCTCGCACCGCGCGCTGCTGGAGCGCCACCTGGCGGCGCACCCTGCCTCCTGACCCCAGCCTGAGGCCTGGCCACGCCCCGCATGGGTTTGACCCCGCCCCCGTGGGCCACGCCCTTTGCAGGCTCGCAATCGTCCGAGGGCTGAGCCACGCCTACTACGGGACCCCTTAACATCCCCGCCAGCTTGGGCAATGCACCGGGGCGTCCTGACCGCGGTCCAGCCATCCCACCACGCTGTCCCCTGAGCGCAGACCCTCGTCCTCGCCGTTGACCACGGGGCCCAACTCTGACCCCTCGGTAGCGGCAGGCTAGGCCTGGTCCCGGCCCGCACCACCGCTGAAGTGGATTCTCGGGCTTGGGGTCGGGCCCAGGATCTCTGGCTCCACTTTCGGCCCCACCGCCTCCCCTGACTGGGGTGGGGTGGGGGGTCGAGGGCTGCTTCTCTACCCCAGAGTCAGGCTGGGCCGGACCCCGGGCACCTCCCCTCGGCCACTCCTCATCTGGCACCTGAGGGAGCGCCAATGGGTTCATCATGGACTGTAATAAAAGGACTGGCCCTTGGGCCCAAGCTCGGAAGCTCTGAGCTCCTGGACCGCGTGTTCCTTGCTCTCACGGACTGGCTGTGGGCGTCGTGGCTCAGTGTCCCCCTCCGTGGGCAAGGAGGTCTGTTCGGTCGTCTGGTACCTCCGTTGTCTGCGCCGGAGATGGGTGTGCGCATGACTGGCACCTGACCTTCCTAGAGCTCGTGGCCCTGCGCGGAGGGGCACAGGCCAGGCCCGTACGCGGCGTCTCTTCAGAGAGAGACAGACAGGTCCACGTGAGTCTCCACCCCGCGCACCGTTGCTTTCGTCTAAGAGACAAATGTTGAAGCCTGTCCCCCAGACCTAAGACCTTTGGACTTCAGAGTCCCCCACCCCCCGTTCTGATGGGCATGATGGTCGAGCACCTTAATTTTGGGGGTCCCAGAGCGTCTTTGGGGCCAGGCGCCACGAGGGGACCTGAGTCCTCGCATACCTGCCTGGCAGGCAGGGTCTGGGGTGCCGCGTGGGCCGGTGTCAGGGCGGCAGCCAGGACGCCTGGGTTTCTTCCTGGGCTGCTCTACACGGCGGGGGCGAACTCACGTCCACAAACCGTGCAGGCAGGTTGGTTGCCAGCCCCGGAGGGAAGCGGCTGCCTTCCTACCCGCAGCGCCGGAGCGGCCCCTGGCCCGGGCCTTGGGGGTGGGGGGGTGCGGTCTGGAGCGGGGCGCCCCAGCTGCTGGGAGAAAGGCGGCGCCTCTGTGAGCTCCCCCTGCGCCTGCCGACCAGACGCGGGGTGGGGGGGCCCACCCATGCCAAGGGCGCAGCACGTGAGCGGGGGGCAGAGCTGCATTTGAGTTTGGACACTGCACATGCTCCTTTCAGTGTATGCTGAGCGCCTACTGTATACCTGGCTAGAGCGTCAGTCCAGCCAAGCTCCATCTCCCTGCAGGCCGAGTGGGTGTCCGTGAGGCGTGAGGAGCAGCAGGCTGGGCGCGCAGCCCCCTGGCCTTGCGGTCCTGGGGACTCTGCCCGTGGCCCTGGCCTGTTTCCCAAGCGCCTGGTCCACGGATGCAGAGGGTCAGCATAGGACCAGGCGGAGCAAAACAAATAGGTGGGGGCAAGAAGGGCTGGGGCCAGAGTGGTGAGGGCTGGGTGAAAAGGTGAAGGGGTTAAGAAGTAAGAACCGTCCGTTACAAAATGGGGGGAGCGGTGTCAAGTACAGCAGAGTGAATACAGTCCACACTGTCATACCTGTGCGATGCCAGGTGAGCACTAGGTGTGTGGCGGGACCACCCCCTAAGGCGTATAAATATCCCAACTCCTGTGCAGTACACTTGAAACTAATTCAATATTGGCCCCGGCTGGGCGGCGCGGGCGGGGCGGTTGGAGCCCCTGCCGGGCAGTCAAGGGCTGCGGGCTCCGTCTCGGCGTGCGGCGGGTGCACGAGGCAGCGGATCCATGTTTCTCTCGCACACTGATGGTTCCCTCTCTTTCTCCCTCCCCCTCTCTCTAAAAATAAATAAAATCCTTTTTTAAAATCATTAAAAATAAAAAATAAAAATCTTGAAATAATTAAAAAAAAGTAGCACCCCCCGCCCCCTGGTCAGGGCGCGTTATGGGAAGCAACCAATCCATGTCTCGGTCTCCGTCTCCCCACATCCCCCTCCTTTCTATAAAAGAAGTGAAAAGAAAAAAAAAAAGTCCTTGGGTGAGGATTAAAAAAAAATAAAATTAAAGAATAATAAAGACATAAGGAGAAGGGCTGGCAGCAGAGTCCTGGCACCGGTAGCACCACAGTCAATACAGCCTGGGCCTCCGCCAGGGGCCAAAGTCGCGGCCGCCGCGGCGCGCGGGCGACCAGTCCGTGCGCACTTCTCTGAGCACAGAGCTGGTGCGATGGGCCTTTGGCCGCGCCTGTCGCTGCTGCTGCTGCTGCTGCTGAGCCTGGGGACGTCCGCATGGCCTGCGGCTGTGGCCCTGGCACTGCGCTGGGTCCTGGGGGACCCCGCCTGCTGCGCGCTGGTGGGCCTGGCTGCGCTGGCGCGGCCGTGGCTCGTTTCCTGGATGCCCCCCTGGCAGAGTCTGGCCGCCGCGGCGCTCGTGCTGGCTCTGCTGCCCGCACGGCCACCCCCGGGGCTGCGCTGGCTGCCAGCCGACATGGCCTTCCTCGTCAGGCTCCTCCGCATGGGCCTGGACATCAGGGCGCGCCTGAGCCGCAAGCCCCCCGAAACCTTCGTGGATGCCTTTGAGCGGCGGGCGCGTGCACAGCCGGACCATGTGACCTTAGTGTGGACCGGTCCCGGGAGTCGCTCGGTCACCTACGGAGAGCTGGACGCCCAGGCCTGCCGGGCAGCGTGGGCCCTGAAGGCGGAGCTGGTCGACCTCGCGGGCGAGGGGAGCAGGGAATCCGCCGCTCTCCTGGTGCTGCCCGCCAAGTCCATTTCTGCTCTGGGCCTGTGCCTGGGACTGGCCAAACTGGGCTGCCCGGTGGCTTGGATAAACCCGCACATCCGCGGGGCGCCCCTGGTGCACGCGGTGCTGAGCTCCGGGGCTCGGGTGCTGGTGGTGGACCCAGGTAAGGACCCCCGAGGACGGAAGGAGATGGGGCAGGGGACAGGCGGGGACTGCTGTTCAGAGGGCCCGAGTGGGGGCTAGGCAGGGAGCTCCTTCCTCCCGGCTCACCCCACAGGCTGTTGGAACTCTACTGTAAATACTGAGGGGACCAGAGGTGTTTCTGCTTTTTCTTTACTAGGGCTATTTCAATCTTTTTTTTTTTTAAGATTTTCTGTTTTAGAGAGGGGAAGGGAGGGAGAGAGAGAGGGAGAGAAACATCCATGTGTGGTTGCATGTTGCACGCCCCCTACTGGGGACCTGGCCTGCAACCCAGGCATGTGCCCTGCATTGGGAATCGAACCAGCGACCCTTTGGTTTGCAGGCTGGTGCTCAATCCACTGAGCCACACCAACTAGGGCTAGTTCAATCTTTTGCCGTGTGTAATGCGCACCCACGTTTTCGGCTCAAACTTTCAAGAAAAAGAATCTTTCGTTTTAATATTTAATTCACTTTTTTATTCATATTTAGAAATCAAACCGATTATCATATTCCGGGGTATTATTTTGTTTACGGATATCGTTATTGCTTTCTAGAGTTACACTTTAAACACATAAGCATAAATAAAAGAATTAAAAACATAGATAAGTAGATACGGAGTTAGTACTACCCATGTAAAATGTGCATCCTTATTTTTCCCTCAAAAATTTGGGCTAAAAGTGAGCATTATACACAGCAAAATACAGTACTCTTGGGGTTCTTTACAGAACACAGAAACTTTGGCTGCTGGCTGCGTCCTTTGGGACTGGCAGTGAGCTCCTCTGCCCCATCTCTGGGACTTGGGTCTCCCCTCCCTAAATCCAAGGCGGACCTTGCCTCAGTTTCTCCTCTGGCACCTCCCTGCAGACCTCCAGGAGAACCTGGAGGAAATCCTTCCCAAGCTGCAGGCAGAGAACGTCCGCTGCTTCTACCTCAGCCTCTCCTCCCCAACGCCGGGGGTGAGGGCGCTGGGGGCCACCCTGGACACTGCGTCTCCGGACCCCGTGCCTGCTGACCTGCGCGCTGGGATCACACTGCGGAGCCCTGCCCTGTTTATCTACACCTCAGGGACCACCGGTGAGGGCACCCAGCAGCCCTAGCCCCGACCTCTAAACTCTCACGCTCACCTGACCCCAAGCTTGACCTTCCACACCCACTCTGTGCTTTGATTGTGAAATCTGGCCTGAACTCTGCCCCGACCAATGTGATCTGAGTGGCGACTGCCAGAGTCCTCAGTCTTCCTGGCAAACAGCCGCTGAAACCCTAACACAGCAATTCCACCTCTGAACCCCACACCCGATCCGACCCGCTTGCACTGCCCTGCAAATCCCCACCCTTGACCAGCTCCTGAGGACCAGGCGGGCCTGACCGTGGCGACCCAGCCCTGCATGCTGCCCTCCTGCCACCCACGCTCCCCACGCCTTCACTTTCCAGGGCTCCCGAAGCCCGTCATCGTCACGCATGAGCGGACGCTACAGCTGAACAGGATGCTGTATCTGAGCGGGGTCACCGCGCGTGATGTGATCTACACAGTCTTGCCTCTGTACCATGCGGCGGGGCTTGTCCTTGGGGTCCTCGGCTGCCTGGAGCTCGGTAAGCCCTTCCCTGATGACCGCTCCAACGCAGGGGGCTGCCAGCCTGGATGTGAGGGCGACAAGGCCTCACAGGCTACCCAGCACCCTGGGTCTTCCCTTCAGAGCAGAGCCCCAGGAGTACCCGCACAGAGGCTGGGACACCCAGAGAGTCCCTGAAGGCTGTTTTAGTCAGGAGGTGACAAGACCTGGTGTGAGGTCACTCATAGGAGCTCTTGTCCCAGGGAGGAGATTCTCACCCAGCGCTCCATCGTGCTGTCTCGCTGGACATCTGACGAGGAATGCACCTGCAGACCTCTCCCCAGTCCATTTCTTTTTCTTTGAACTATTGTCTTTGCGCCCTGGCTGGTGTAGCTCAGTGGAATGAGCACCGGCTTGCAAACGGAAAGGTTGCTAATTGGGTTCCCAGTGAGGGCTCGTGCCTGGGTTGCAGGCCAGGTCCCCAGCGGGGGGCGCGCAAGAGGCAACCACACATGGATGTTTCTCTCCCTCTCTTCCCCTTCTCTCTCTCTAAATAAATAAAATCTTTAAAAAACAGTATCTTTTTAAATCACAATTTCAAACATATATAAAAGTACGGCATGTCCTTCTGATGAAGTTTCCCATGGCCTCCTCCGCACCCAGCCCCAACAACTGCGAACATGTTGCCAGTTTTATTTCATAGGAATTCCTCTCTGGAGTAGTTTAGAGCGCTTGTAACCGTTGCAGTATGTATCTCTTACATAGAAAGAATGAACAGCAACTCTTTAGTATCATCTGATGCTCACTTCATGTTCAAGGTTCCCAGTTGTCAAATTGACGTCTTACAGGGAGTCTTGTCATCGTGTGGTCTCTGCTCCTCTTTCCCTGTGTTTCCTGTTAGACTGGAAATTCTCTCTAGAGATGTTGTTAGATTCAGTTCAATTACTTGTGGCAAGAACCATGGTAAGGTTCATTGTGCTTCCCAATTCATCACATCGGAGGCCGCTCATAACTGTTATCCTAACTTGGAGAGCCTGAGGTGCTCTGAGACCTTTAACTGGAAAACTCTCTACCAACATTACCCCGAGTTTTACTAGCTCTTGATGACCTTCAAGGTCCCAGCACCCATTTTATTTATTTTGTAAAATATTTTATTTACATACTTTTAGAGAGAGGGGAAGGTAATGAGGAAGAGAGGGAGAGAAACACGGATCAGTTGACGCGCAAGCACCCCCAGCTGGGGTCCTGGCCCGCAACCCGAACATGTGCCCTGACCGGGATTTAAACCAGCAACCCTTTTATTCACAGGCCGGTGGTCAATCCTCTGAGCCACACCAGCCAGGGCAACTGTACGTATTTATTTATTTTTAGAAGGGAAATGAGGGAGAAAGAGTAGGAGAGAAACATCGCTGTGCAAGAGAAACATCAATAGGTTGCCTCTTGTGCGCCCCCAAGTGGGGACCTGGCCCACAACCCAGGCCTACGGCATGACTGGGAATAGAACCAGCAACCCCTCAGTCCACAGGCCAGTGCTCAGTCCACTGAACCACACCAGCCAGGGCTGGCTGGCACCCATTTTATATTTTACATCCCTGTCACTAACCAAGCACACAAGCAATTGTCCCTTTGGATGCAGGGATAATGATGCTCTGCTTACAGGTTTCTGTTGAGGATTAGGCTTGAGCTGGGGGAGAGCACCCTCTACAGAGACAGCTGTAGAGAAGGGAATCAGAAAAGGAGGGTTCACTTTCCTGGGGTGAGTGTAGTGGCCCTTAAAATTAATTGATCCATGTGAGCATCCTTCAAAACATCCATCCATCCACCCACTCGCCTTTCCATCCACCCATTTACCAACCATTCCTTTTGCCCAGCTAAACATTCATAAAACACTGATCATAACAAAAAATGATTAATTTTCATAGCCCTTATTTAGCAGTACTCACTTTGCACGAGGCTCCAAGCTTTCCACACAACCTGGACACAGGACTTGAACCCAGGCCTGCCTAGGCTTTTCTCCTGGAGGGAGTCCTGGCTGGGCCAGGGACACAGAGATGAGCCCAGGACCATCCTGCGCTTCCGGGGCCTCAGAGCGGAGCAGCCCCTCGCAGTGGCTCAGAAGCGTGACCTGAAACTCATTTCTCTCCTGCCTCCCAGGAGCAACCTGTGTCCTGGCCCCCAAGTTCTCTGCTTCCTGCTTCTGGGATGACTGTCGGCGGCACAATGTGACTGTGATCCAGTATGTGGGAGAGATCCTGCGGTACCTGTGTAACGTTCCCCAGGTGAGACACGAAGGTCGGGTTCCAGGGGGAACGCCGTAGGTATGAAATCCCAGCTGTCAGCCCGGGGCAAGCTCTAAGGTATACTCAAGTACAGGTCCCAAACAAGGGACCTCAGGTAAAACACCCCAGACAGGAGCCACATACAGTGGGTCCCCTACAAGGTTTCCAAGAATAGCTTCTTCAATGATCACCTGTGCTTCCCTGGGCGGGTGACTTCACCTCTGTCAGCCTCAGTGTCCTCATTGAGAAAACAGGGAGAATATCTCAAGGGGGGGACTGTGGGAATTAAATATATTGTAGGCCTATTGTAATGTGTCTACAGTACGGTGTGGCTCAGGGCAAACTAATTAGACGGGAGCCAGCCTCATCCTTACAGAGCAATGAGGTATGGACCACAGGTAACTGTGTCCAAGCAAGGTCCCCAGGTGTCCCTCCAGATAAAGCCTCTAGGCAAGCCCTCAAGGAAAGTCTCCAGGTAACTACCCCCAAGTAAGGCCCCTAGGTGACTCCCAAGATGACGCCTCAAATCAGTTCCCAGTTTACCTCCAGATAAAGGTCCCCAAGTTACCCCTCCAGATAAATATTCCAGGTATGTATCTTTACATAAGACCCAAGACGAGGCCTCCAGTCGCCCTAGGTATCCCTCCAGGTAAGGCCGCCCGGTAACTCCCTCTGCCTCCAGGTAATATCTTCAGGTCACCCTCTAAGTACAGATGCCAGGTAACTACTCTCAAGTAAGAACCACTGGTAGATCCCCTAGGTATACACCCCTCATCGCCCGCCAGGGAACTAACTCCTCAGGAAGGACCAGAGATAGCCCTTCCAGGAAAGGGTTCCAGGGCACCCCCTTGTCACTGTTCTTGGGGCATCTGCAGCGACAAGAGGACCAGACACATACAGTCCGCCTGGCGGTGGGCAACGGACTCCGGGCAGATGTGTGGGAGACCTTCCAGCGACGCTTTGGTCCCATTCGGATCTTGGAAATCTATGGCTCCACGGAAGGCAACACTGGCTTTGTGAACTATCCAGGACGCTGTGGGGCCGTGGGCAAGACAAGCTGCTTCCTTCGAGTGAGTGGTTGGGGTATGACAGTGACCTCGATCGAAACTGGGTGCACAGGACCTCTGCTGACAGCTCCCCACCCTCCACTCAGATGCTGTCCCCCTTCGAGCTTGTACAGTTTGACACGGAGGCTGCCGAGCCTGTGAGGGACAGAGCAGGCTTCTGTGTGCCTGTGGGTCCAGGTACAGGGCTTGGGGAACCTTCCCTGGGTGTGGGAAGGGTAGGGACCCCGTTTCCTCCTTGGCTGGAACAGGCCGCCCAAAGCCCTGAGGCCGGTGCCCTGTGCTGGTGTCCGCAGCTCTGACCCCGGACGCTGCGTGCCCAGCCCGTGCGACCACCATCCGGGACCCTCTGCCTCTCGGCTCCTCGGCTCTGCCGGACTTTCCTGCCTCAATCTTTTGTCTGCTGGGTGTCCCCTGGAGTTGCACCCTCAAGCTTTCTGTGGAAGCCATGTCCGCCCAGGCACCAATTTGTTGTCTTCTGCCTTCTCCTACCGTCTTCTCTCCTGGGCCCTTGCAAGGTCCTGGCCACATTTCTTCCTTCCTGCCACCATTTGCCTCTGTTCCTTGTCCCGTTTCCTATTTTTAATGGGCTTCCCATGCCCCCTTCTCTCTCTGTCTTTCACTTTCTGCTGCCCCGTGTCGGGGTCTGTCTTTTCCGTGTCCGGATCGCCCTGCCTCTATCTCTGGGTCTTTCTCTGCCTCTTCTCCGGCCGGCTCCTGGGTGATGGAGTTCACCGTTGTCGCCAATCTCCGGCGGAAGGCTGCTGGGCTTCGGGGGTTCCTGCCCCCGGTTAATGTCCCAACCCCTACTCCTGCCCCCAGGGGAGCCGGGGCTCCTGTTGACTCAGGTGCTAGGCCGCCACCCTTTCCTGGGTTACCGCGGGCCCCGGGAGCAGTCGGAACGGAAGTTGGTGCGGAACGTGCGGCGCCCGGGCGATGTTTACTACAATTCCGGGGACGTGCTGTCCATGGACCGCGAAGGATTCCTCTACTTCTGCGACCGCCTCGGGGACACCTTCCGGTTCTGGGCGGGGTTTCTGGGGGCGGGACTGGACCGCGGGGCCGCCCGGGATTCCTGATCCTCCCGGGAGGCCGACGAGAGAGGCGGGACTTCCGGGCCCCAGAGGGGCGGGGCCCGGCCGCTCTCAGGGGCGTGGTCACAAGCCCGGCTACTCCCCGCAGATGGAAGGGCGAGAACGTGTCCACCAGGGAGGTGGAGGGCGTGCTGTCACTCGTGGACTTCCTGCAGGAGGTGAACGTCTACGGCGTGTCCGTGCCAGGTGCGCAAGGCCCACCTCATTTTACACGCGATGTGAGCCGCGGGGGAGCCGCCAGGGCACAGCCAGTGAACAGCGTTGTGCCAGGTGAAAGGGTCGGCGGGGAATGACTGGTGTGCTTCTCAGGGTGTGAGGGGAAGGTGGGCATGGCCGCTGTGCAGCTGGTCCCTGGCCGGGCCTTCGACGGGCAGAGGCTGTACCAGCACGTCCGCACCTGGCTGCCTGCCTACGCTGTCCCCCATTTCGTCCGTATCCAGGTGAGCCCAGGGTGTCAGTCGTGGGTGGGTGGGCGGTCTGGGCCGTGCGAGCCGCAGTCGGAGTTACGGCCCCTGCCCCTGCAGGACACGCTGGAGATCACGAGCACTTTCAAACTGGTGAAGTCCCAGTTGGTGCGTGAGGGCTTCGACGTGGGCGCCATTGCTGACGCAGTGTTTGTGCTGGACAACCAGGCCCAGGCCTTCCGGCCCCTGACACAGGAGATGTACCAGGCCCTGTGTGAGGGCACCTGGAGACTCTGAACATCTGGCCAGCCAACGAGACGGCTGGAGGGCAGGGCCCAGTGCTGCCCAATGTCAGAAAGTAAATAATAAAGGGAGGCACTTTAGCATGAAGCTGAAATGTCAGAGGAACTACCTTGCACGTCTTATGTGTGAAGCCGTATAAATGTTTAAAAAAGAAAGAAAAAAAAAAGCCCTGGCTGGTGTGGCTCAGTGGATTGAGTGCTGGCCTGCACATCAAAAGGTCACTGGTTCGATTCCCAGAGCACTCGCTGGGGTTGCCAGGTCCCCCAGCTGGGGGTGTGCAAGAGGCAACCGATTGATGGGTCTTTCACACATTGATGTTTCTCTCCCTCACTTCCTCCCTCTCTAGAAATGAATACATAAATAAAGCATAATAACCTTTGGGCCTAATCAATTCACCTTGTGTACCTAACTTTTTGCAAGGATAACAAGAAAGCAGTTAATATGGCTACTGGACTGATGCCTACAGAGTAAAAATTAAAAGCTTCGCCTTGACTGGTGTGGCTCAGGGGCTTGGGCGTCATCAGGCCAACCAAGAGGTCTCCAGTTCTCTCCCAGGTCAGGGCACAGGCCCGGGTTGCAGGCCAGGTCCCCAGTAGGAGGCGCGCAAGATGCAAACACAGGTTGATGTTCCCCTTCCTCTCTTTCTTTCTCCCTCCCTTCCCTTCTCTAAAAATAAATAAAATCTCTCTCTCTCTCTCTTTTTTAAAGAAGCGCCTTATTTTCAAAAGGGGAAGGAGATGGAGAAGGGTGCTTAATAATGGCCCTAAAGACACTCACGTTCTAATCCCGTGAACCTGTGTTATCTCACACACAAAAGGGATTTTGCAGATGAACCAAGTGTACAGGTGGGAGCAGAAAAGACGGCTAAGGGTCCTGAGAAAGGGACACTGCCACAGATTACAGGTGAGCCCCAGATACAACCATAAGGGTCACTATAAGGCGGAGGCGAGAGGATCAGAGCCAGAGAGACGGCAGCATAAGAAAGAGTTCACCACCACTGCCGGCTTTGCAGGGGGAACACGGGGCCACGAACCAAGGGACGCGGCAGCCTCGGGAAGCTGGACAAGGCAGTAAAACAGAGTCTCCCCTAGCGCTTCCCCAAACAGCCTGCCCTCATGGCACCTTGATTTTAGCCCAGTGAAACCCATTTCACAGTCATGAGAGAATAAATCTGTCTTGTTTCAAGCCACCAAGTTGGTTACAGCAACAACAGGAAACTAATACAGTGCATTGAACGAAGTCCCACATGCCTGCCCAGGAATCCAGATGCACCCCCATGGGCAGCAGGCAGCTGATCTTCCGCTCTCTGACTTTGTGACCGACGGACCTACTGTGTGGGCTGTGGGGACACAGTCCTGGCCTGCAGGTGTGCATGGCCTCGGGGACATGTTTGCGGCCCTTTTTCTCGAGGCCACCCTTGTCTACCCACGCTTAAAATGTTAAGTCCCCTAGTGCCCACTGAAGCTGGGACCCAAGAGCTCAAAGGACAACGAGGCCAGGAGAGTGACACGTGCAGTGTGGGAACAGGGCCCCCGGACCTTCTCATGGGTTTGCTGCTCTGTGGCGCCCGCTGCCAGGCAGGAGGAGCGGAACTGCTGACCTTCTGCCCAGCAGAAGCCAGAAATCGGGATCGTTAGGCAGAGACTTCCCGGCTGCAAAAGTGGGATTCGTTAAAAACCCACAACACGTGTGAAAGACCATTAGTCTTCCCTCTGCTGCAAACAGAAACAGATCATGTTCTCCTGGGCTTTCTGCACCTTCCACATGCCGACCCCGGACCCTGCCGCTTCACAGGAGGTCGGAAGAGGCAGTTTTTGAGAATCTACTCACGGCAAAGGAGGTTCCAGGTTTTGGAAAAGTCGTCAGCCTGCAGCGTGTCCCGGGTGGGGAGATCTGAGCTTGGAAGTCACCCCTTGGGCCACTGGTCAGGGGTGGATTCAAACCAGGCCTCACTTCAGCTGGGAGGGGGTGGAGGGGGTGCAGGAGCAGCTGCTTTTCTTGCTCCCAGGTGGCTTTTGGTAGGGGACCTTCCTGGCAACTCTGATTCAGTACAGCGCCCGCTACTGCCTCCCAGTCTTCCAGGCTGCGTCCAGGTCCTGAGGACAACGAAGTCGCTAAGGTGAGTCCACCTTCTCCGGCAGCTCACGGGGCCTCGAGCCGATGGCTCTTCCTGTGGATGACCAGCTGCGACTTCCAGTCGAAGCCGCGGCCGCAGTCGCCGCAGAAATGGCGCTGCTGGCCAGCGTGGCTCTTGCGGTGGATGACCAGCTGCGACTTCCAGCTGAAGCTGCGCCCGCACTCCTCGCAGGCGTAGTTCCGAGGGGCGGGGGCCGCGCGCCGCGGGTGGCGCAGTGCGCCCGGCTCCCGGGTACTTTGCAGCGGCTTCTCAGCGCCCCCTACGGTCGGCGCCGGGGCCTGAGCGCCCTGCCCGCCCACGTGCGTCCGGTGGTGAATGACGAACACCGACTTCCAGTCGAAGCCACGGCCGCACTGCTCACAGGTGTAGGGCTTGCTCCGCGCGGCGCCCGGCACCGGCGGCGGCGGGACCAAAGCGGTGGCCCCAGACGGGCCCTCCCAAGACAGCGGGGACTCGGGACAGCCTGGCGGACCCTCGCTCTCACCTCCTGGGAAAAGGACGCGCGGCAGACCCAGTGGCCCCGGCGCCAGGACGCTGGCCCGCCGTGCGCCACGCCCCGCCCAGCCCCACCCTCCGCCCCACGGTCTGTGCGCCACACAAGCTCCCACCCACCCGAGGCCGGGCGGCCCGCTTCACACGGGGCAGCACTCACGCTGGCGGAGGCTTCCAGGGCCCTCTGTCCCCATGCTCGGTGCGCCAGGCTCCAACTCGACCTGCGCGTCCGGCCTGGGGGGTGGTAACCCTGCTGGGGTGAAGGGCAATGAGGCGCCAGTCCTGGCACTGGGCGGGGGAGGGGCTGCCACAAAGGAGGGACGGGGTGGGGGCCCTGGGGGGTGGCATGGGAGCCCCTTGGGGAGGAAGAAGGCGGGGGCCCACAGGGAAAGGCGAGGTGCAGGAAGCGGAGAGGGGAGGGGGCGGGGCCGGGGCCGGTGCTCACCCAGGGAGACCACCGTGCCGTACTTCTCCAGCATCGCGTCCCAGTACAGCTCCTTCTGTGACGGGTCCAGCAGCCCCCACTCCTCCTGCCGGGACGGGACCCTTCGCTGCCTGGACCTCCACTCCAGCCCGCCCCTTCCCAGGCCACTGCCTCATTCCCTGGAGACTCAGATGACGCTAAGACAGGGTGTGAGGAGGGAGGCGGTGAGGGGGTGGGAGCAGCCTGTGGCTCGCCTGGCGGAAGCTGCCAGCGCCCATCCCCCTGAGCTGCCCCACCCCACGTTCCGGCTGGACAGACTGAGCCTGGGACCCCTGGGCTTTCAGGGACGCAGAGTCAGGGACGGATGTGGCTGGCCCCATCCCTGTGCCTTGAGCAGAGTGTCCCCAGCAAAAGATGAAGGGACTCAGGGGACTCCAGGCTCCTCTCCAGGGAAGCTGCAAAAAGCCGTCAGCAGTCCCGGATGTGGGTACCTGGCTGCCGGAGGACTCACGATGGGAGGTACAGCCTGCCACACCTGGCGCAGGTGATGTACGTGGGTGGGGTGGTGGGCTGGGTTCTCCGTGTGGAGAGGTGAGCTCTTGCGGGCCTCTGCCCTCCTCGCCTCCCAGAATCCCATCCTCTGGTTGGGGCTTTGCTGGGTTGGGAAAAATAGTCCCCACAGACAAGCCAGAGGGGAGGTGGCAGCAGCTTGGAGCCACAGCTGGGGCGGTGCTGCTGGAGGTGAGGGGGCTTTGAACAGCCTCTGTGCCACCCGCCTCCATTTCCTGTTGTGCCTCAGGCTGTGGAGGGAGCCCGGGGCACTTCGCAGCATCCAAGCTCATCCCAACCAGCTCGTCCACTGGGACACTCGAGTAAAGTGGCTGAGGAGCAGAGTTGCTGAGAGAGGATGGGACCCCTGCTACCCAACCTCAAGAAGCGAGCACTGCAGGTAGGAAGGACCTCAGCTGAGCTTCCACACGCAGCTGGAAAGGGGGGGCTGCCGGCACTTCCTGTGAAGAGCCTCTCCATTCTGACCTCAGTTGTGCTGGGGAGACCGGCCTGCTGTGTGGTTGAGGCTCAGGCTTTCCACCCACGGCGGGTCATCTTGTCCCCTCATCTGCACACGAGGGACGGTGCGAATCCCCTGGTGCCTGCTCAGGACTGCTGGGAGCTGCACCCCCCTGACTAACTTCTTTGAGAGGAAGCCGACTCCTAACAGCTCCCATCACTCTAAACCCGATTCCAAAAATCCTCCCCAACTGCAGAGACCGCCAGTCTCCCTTTGTCCCCCAGGACCTGCAGGGCACCCTGTACCAACTCCAATCGGAGCAGCAAAGAGCACAAGAACGGCTGGCCTAGGAGCCCGGAACCCTGGCAGGCAGAGTGGCCACCATGGACATTCTCCTCCCACCCGGGGCTGCTCACCTGAATCCTGGGTGGGTGGAAGGAGGCAGAGTCTGGTTCCCCATGTCCAGCTGGCCCCTCTTGGGACTGGGATGGATGTGGGGGACTGGCAGGTGCTGGAAGTGAGGTGGAAAGGGTCAGGGCTGCCCATGTGAGCCACGCCCGATGAGCTGGTGCTGGTGCTGCCGCCAGGGCCCTCCTCTGCCAGCAGGCAGGGGGCCATGTGTGTGCCAGCCACATGGCACTCAGAGAGCCCGTACTCTCTTCGTGCCTCCCAGGGACCTGCTCTGCCGTCTGCAGTCCCTCCTGAGCCCCCACTCCCGCCAGGACGCCGGGGACACCCGCACTCCCACTGGGAGCCCCTGGCCTAGTGCGGCCCCCTTCTCACCCCTCTCCTGCCCATCCTCATCAGGCTCCTCTTTCACACTGCAGCGGAGCCGGGCGGATCCCTTCCTCTGCGCATCCTGGTGCCCCTCCCCAGAAGCTGCCCTGAGCGGCTCTACTATCCCTAGAGGGTGGGGGCTCCCCAATGAGTCCTCTGCCTTTTGTGCGGCGGGGTGCGCTGCTTGCTTCAGGACGTGGGCTGTGATCTGAAGGGAAGAGAGAAGTCACCAGAGCTCTACTCTTGTTCTGTACCTCCTTAAAGACAAACGGGCCATACTCACCCAGCCCAGCAGTTGCCCAGGGTCATGCTGCAGGCCCTCGACCAGGGCTGAAGCCTCCTCAGGGCTGCCTGGTCTCTGGCCCTGGACCCAAGCCTGGATCTCAGCGGGCAGTGAGCCCAGGAACTGCTCCAGCACCAGCAGCTCCAGGATCTGCTCCTTGGAGTGCACCTCGGGCCGCAGCCACTGGCGGCAGAGTTCTTGAAGCCGGGACAGGGCCTCTTGGGGACCGGCCACCTCCTGGTAGCAGAATCCGCGGAAGCGCAGGCGCGCTGCCTCAGGGTCCTCTAGATTGGCCGCGGGGTCCACAGAGGGCAGGCGCGGGGGCCCCAGTGAGGATGGCATTGTTGTGCCAGGAGTCTTCTTGGTGCCCCCAAGAAGAACCTGCAGAAAAGAGGGGTCAGGGTACGGGCCAAGAGGCCATCGTCAGGGGAAGGCAGACTTTGGACAAGTGCTTGGAGGCCGATTGTCCAGTGGAGCTTCCGGGAAAGTGCCAACATCTGGGGACATCAGGGGTTGTTGGAGAGACAGGCGTCCTGGGTCAGGCTGAGGAGCCGCAGGAAGTGTCCAGCAGAGGAGGGAGGTAGCAGTCAGTGCGCAGGAGGACAGGGAGGCTTGGAGCCATGAGGGTGGGAAAGGGCAGCAGTGGGACGGGGCGCCAGGCTGGGCTACGGCAGAACATGTTGACTGAAGTGGTCACCCGGAGGGGCTGGTTACTGGGACGGGCGCGTTGGCGCCCTCGGTCCAGGCTGGACTCCAGGGCTCTGTACTCGCCGACCACAGCGAACTGTGGATGACTCGCACCGTCTGGACTGTGCTTGTGAAAAACAAAAGCACAGCACGGCGGAGCCACGAACTGCGCAGAGTCGAGAGCCGGCAACTGTGACCCTGACGAGGGACTGGAATGAAACACGCCCGCACGGGGGACCTGCCAGACCCGCGAAACCAGCCTCCCGAGTCGGTCTCCCAAAAACGGAAGGGAGGAAGGGAGGGCTTCCCGGGGGAGGCGGAACGATGCTCTGGGTGGGAGAGGATCGGAGGTGGGGAGCGCACGGCACGTCAGGAGGTCGGCGGGCGCTCGCGAGCGCAGGGAGGAGGGGCTGGGTCCCGGGAGGTGGAAGAAGCCGCGCCCAGCCCAGCCTGGCCCACGCTCACCTCAGCTACCGCGCCCGCAAGCCACTTCCGGTCAATGGCACCTCGGCGCCCCTCCCACCTCTCTCAGGACGCCCCGCCCACCCCTCCGCGCGTTACCTTGGCGACGCTGTTTTCGCCAATCACGCCCCTGCTCCTAAGGCCCCGCCCCCTCCCTTCGGACTACGTTGCCTACGAGCTTCAGCAAGCAAAGACAATCGCGGCGTCCACCAGCGGAGGCTCGTTTTCAAAGGCTGAGAGGCGCTCCACTCCTCATAGAGGAATCTGCAGGGTAGCTCAATTTATGGAGCTTCCTCCTCTCACTGGCGGCTGTTCTTTGCATCTGAGTCCTAGAACTCACCCAAGTGCCAAGATGGGCTGTTGGTCTTCTGCGCACGTGCAAAACGGACCGGGCTCCTATTGGTAAGCGAGGTGAGATACGTGACCTCTCGGCCAATCAGAGCTGGTACTCTACCCAGGCCCCGCCCCCTCCCCGACGCTCTGCTTGAGGCTTCTCTTCAGCCTGGCAGTTGCCCCCTTGGCAACCGCTAGAACACGTCCGCCCGCCTGCAGCGGTTTCCAAGGCAACAGCCGCAGCGTCGCCCTGCCGTACTTGGAGGCTGGGTCGCGTACTTGTTCGGCAGAGACTTACCTACGGCCAGTCCCAAAAGTAAACGGGGTCCGGGTGGAAAGTCCTGCGGGCTTTCTCCAGCGAGAAGGGTGCTGGTCCATTCGATTTCCGCTAGGCGCCCTCTTCGGTGGGTACCCGTTTACCGATGACACCATCCCACATGATTTATATACCCCGAGTCTGACACGTCTTCAGATACCAGCACTCAACCTTTTACTTACTTTGGGGGCCAGAATTAGTAAGGTGACCTTTATTTTTAGTTAATCTCCATAGGCAATGTTAGCGGGGTCAGTTTTGTTTCCACACATCAAGTGCCTGAAACATGACTTATTCAAAATCCTAAAATGCATCTACGTGTCTCTCTTGAACGGCGGGAGCTTGTTTGAAGGTTTTAGCAGGGTAGCGCAGCTACTCGTATACCTTTGACCGAAGACTGGTCCTCTCCTCTATTTGGGAAGGTCGTCCTCTTCGACCGAGAGCGCAGCTTCCGAAGAGACGCATGTGGATCAGGGAGGGAGGGAGAGGACACCCGCCTAGCCAGCCAGATCAGCTGAAACAACGCTGGCGATCAATGGGGTGACAGATGTCGCAGCCAGATCGTCCTCACATCCTATCCTGGTTCCTTTTGATACCTAGGGGCTGCCAGCTCGCTATAAAGAGCTGCGGTCTGAACCACTGATTGGAAGGACGCTCGGAACATGAGTGGGTGGCGCTTGTCGACTCTTCCCAGTAGCATCGTTAAATCGGGCTGTTTTGTGGGGGCTTAGGTCTTTTCACAGGGACTGTGCAGATTCCCCAGAAACGACTCTTTCACCATCTACCGTAGGGAGACCTGGGACTCTAACAGCTCCTCCAGCATCTCTCCCCCGTCATCTTTTAGGTCTCCCCTCCCAGAAGACTGCTGGTGTCATGATATCTTAAGTTTTGCAGCGTAAGCCTGGTGGGTCTGCCTCTACTTACCCTCGTGCCAGCTCAGTACCTACTTTCCCTAAGCCAGTGACAGCTCCCTCGACCTCCTCTAGGTGTAGAATGCCATTGCAACGGACACTTTTCTCCATCCTCTTGCTCACAAACCCACAGGGTTTGTCTTAAACACTCTCTTCTGTGGTTTCAGTTGGCTTTTGAATAGAGTGAGGATGGGTTCAGTTCACCATCTTGAGCCAGAAAGACCAGGGACACTTTTACAGTCACAGCCTGTTCAGGGGTAAGAGCAGGGGAGCCCGCCTGGCAGGACGAGAGGTTTGAGGGAGGGCAACTTAGGAGCCAAGACATGGGGGAAGGAGGATGCCCATGCATTGCTCTTCCTGTAGGAACAGTGGAGGACACTGACCAGTCCTGGGTAGTGGGAGGGGTTGATCTGTGGAGGAACTAAGGGACAGCAGAGACCACAGAGATGGGAAGGAGCTCAAGGAAGCAGCGAGGAGGCGTGTGGGGAGACAGCAGGCTCAGGCGGAGGGGTTAGGAAAGCTCAAGGTGGAAACTGGGCTCCCAGAAGAGCTTTTGTCCAAGTTGCAGAAAATGTTGCATGTGACTCTCTGGGTCCCCATGGGCTCCCAGAAGAGTCCTCAGTCAGGGCAGGGAGGCAGGCCTGAGGAAAGGTGAAGTGAGGGCAAGGCCAGAGTGTGGACCAGAGCAGAGAGCAAGAGTCCAGGAGGTGCAGCCAATGGCTCAGGAGCACAGGCACGGAGGACGTGTGCTGGGAGGCTGTTGAGGGTAGAGTCTTGCATGACTCCTCTCTTCACCCAAGTCTCCCCACCTTGTAGGAACTTGGGAGGTTTCTACCCCTTGGGAGGGGCAAAAATGGGACCCACCCTGCTGGCAGGCGGGGAGTGGGGGTAGGGAGATCTTGTCTGTGCTCAATGTGTACGGTCTGTGAGGCCTTGGATGTGATGGCGCTGGAACACCCACTGGGTTGGGGCCCACCTTTGGGGTCACATATAGCCCATACCTCAGATTTCACAGCTTGGACCCACAGAAGCCCAACTCCTAGTAGAGCCGCTGTTTGGGGCAGCTTCAACCCATCTACCCCGCCCAGGTCTGCTGGCTGCCCCACGCCCACCTGGCTGCCAAGGGGACCCAGGTCTCAGCACCTCAGTGGGGCCACAGACAGGCTGCGTTTCTACCCTGTGGCTTCTCAGAAAGGCCCACCAGTTTGAGGCCAAGTCCCCGCAGCTCTATGGTGAGGACAGGCTCTGATGGCAGGCACATCTGCGCTGTGCTGGGGTGAAACCAGGCTGTTACCATGCATGTAATTTGAAAAAGAAACCTTTATCAGGGAGCCTCCCTGGACTCAGTGGGAGGGGAGCCTGAGGTGTGGACTCCCACAGGGCTGTGCAAGAACTTACAATCAACATCTCTCCCAAGTTAGTTCCAAGTTGTAACTTCTAGCCCTTTTTTCCCAAGTAGAGAGACCATTAACTTCCCTGGGAGTGAGGCCAGAGGTCAAGATGGGCTCCGGTCTGCTAAGGGCCACAGGAAGCGAACTGGGCCCCAGCCCAAACTGTCTGCCTCAGCGTCCCCACCCTGCAGGGGTGTCATGCTGAGGGGGATCTCAGGAGGGCGCCACACGCGGGCAGAGCCCGTGCAGAAGCGAGCAGCCCCATCTTGTCTCGGATGAGGCTGTTGTTTCAGTCGCCGCCTGTCAGGGCAGGGGGATGTCGAGGCTCCTGTAATTTTGACTTTGGTAACAACGGGACACAGCCCGAGCGGAGGCTTGGATGGGAACCTGCACGGACGTGTGGCGGGGGCCCATCCTTCTATCTTTCCCGCGGCAGACTTCCACCTCCCCCACCGCCCGAGGGTCAGCCACGTGCAGGGCGCCAGGCCAGGCCTCTCTCTGCCCTCCCAGCTGGCAGACTGTGGAGTGCGGGGGCGGGATGGTGAGCTGTCTGGATGCTAGACTTGGCTCTACTGTGTGTGACTTACATCCCCTCGCTGCACTTTAGTTTCCTGTTATGAGAAGTGGAGACAATGGCCACAGCAGCCACCTCAAAGGGCTGGTAGGGGAACCTTGCAGCACTCAGAACGGGTTGGAAGTTGGCACATGTGGGCCTCATAAAGATCCTGTCTGTCGGGTGCTGCAAATACCCTCTGGAGGCTGGAATCCTTTTTTTTTCCCCTTCTTTTCCGCAGAAAAGAAAGTAGAGGCTTAGAGCCCAGCCACTTGTCCAAGGCCGGCGCCCAACCCCCGCATGACCTCTTGTCCACTGTGCCCCCTCCCAGGGAGCCTCAGATGAGTAGACGCCTGGGGGAAATATCCTGAGTGTCTGTGGACTAGCCAGCTTCAGCGTGGACATCACAAATTCCTCTGGACCGCCTCCGCCCCCATCCCAGCGCGCCCCTCCTCCCCTAAGCGTCCAGTCATAACATGCGACAAGTGGCACCACCATGCCAGCCTCCCCTGGCTCTGACAGCCACCACTCGGCCCCACCAAAGTCCCAGCCTCCATGTCTATCTTCCTAACCTTTCTGCAGTGTGACCTCTGGGGCACGGAGGAGGCAGTTGTGGCTGAGGTGGCAAATCTTGTCAGTGCGTGCAGATGGAACTACGGAGCGCACACAAGGCTTCTCCAGAACAGATCTGCTTAGGGCCCAGCTCTTTGGCCTTGGAAGGGGCTCATTATAGGTAAGAAAGGGCGGAGCTAGGACTTTAGGCCTCAGCGGGCGTGGGTACCTCAGCAGCAGCTGGGCCTGAGGCAGGAGTGGGCCGGTCCCCTGGAGCGCAGTCTGAGGAGGCCCCTGAAGGAGGCCTGGTTCTGCGCCTCCGCACCGGCTTCTCACCGGTGTGGATCCTCTGGTGATGGAAGAGGGCTGGGCGCTCGCGGAAGGCGCGGCCGCACTGCGAGCACACAAACGGCTTCTCGCCCGTGTGGATGCGCCGGTGGCTGAGCAGCACGGCGCCTTTGGCGAAGGCCTTTCCGCAGTCCCCGCAGCGGTAGGGCCGCTCGCCTGTGTGCAGCAGCTGGTGCTGCGTGAGGTTGGAGCTGTGGCTGAAGGCGCGGCCACACTGTGTGCAGGTGAAGGGCTTCTCGCCAGTGTGCACGCGCTGGTGCTTGAAGAGCGAGGAGCCCTGGCTGAAGGCAGCCCCACAGAGCGTGCAGGCGTACGGCTTCTCACCCGTGTGTGTGCGCTCATGCTGGATCAGATGCGAGTTGCGGCAGAAGCGGCGGCCACACCGCGCACAAGCGTAGGGCCGCCCGCCCGCGTGGATCTTGCGGTGCTGGCTGAGGTTGGAGCCGTGGCTGAAGGCCTTTCCGCATTCGCCGCAGCGAAAGGCCTTCTCGGCTGTATGGATGCGCTGGTGCCGCACCAGCGAGGAGCTGTGCCGGAAGGCCTTGCCACAGGCCAGGCATGCGTAGGGCGTCTCTCCACTGTGGATGCGCTGATGCTGTGTCAGGTGTGAGGTCTGGCTGAAGGCCTTGCCGCACTGTGTGCACTCATAGGGTCGCTCCCCGGTGTGCGTGCGTAAGTGCTTGAGGAGGTCGGAACTCTTCACAAAGACTTTGCTGCACGCCCTGCATTCGAAGGTCTTCTCCCCCGGGAGTAGGCCAGGGCCCGCGTGGAGGGTGTCACCCAGTTCATCCCAGGTTGGGGGCTCCTGACAGGCGGGGAGTGCCTGAGGCTCCTGCCAAGCCACCCCCATTCCTAGTTCCCCCATCGTGTGACCGGCCTGGAGGTCTGGGACACTCGGGAAGGTCCTCCCAGGGGGCTTCTGCAGCTGGGAGGCGCTCGGCTGCTTGCCTGGCTCTGAGCGGTCTGTGAGGGCTTTCTCTGTGGGTGGGCTGCCCCCGGGGGCCCGCAGAGGTGAGGTCAGCCGCAGGCTGATGCTGGTCTCACCACTGCCCGGGCCTAGCAGGAGTCTTTCCCAGTAGATCACAGAGACCCCCGTGGGTTTTCTCTCCCGCGATGAGGAAATGCCCTGCCGAGCCTCCAGGCGTTTTCCAGATTCACAGGCAGCAGTGGTGGGGAGAACTCTAGCAGATGTGGGAGGGGGCCTATCCTGGAAGGTCCTTGGCTGTGCTGCTTCCCCAGACACATGTCTGCCGTCTGCCAGACGTGGGAAACCTGAAGGCACAGAAACAGCGGATTCCTAGGTCATCCTGACCAGGAGGAAGTGACCTGGGCAGTCCGAGTGGGTGGGTGAGGGGACCCACGGTCTGGGTGTGGCCGCTAGAGAGAAGAACAGAGACCCTTCCCGTATGCAGCTCAGCTGTCGGTGGGACTCCCAGGCCTGCTGTGCCCCTTACGCTGATGGCTACCTGCTGCCGGAGTTTCACTCACGAACTCTGTTCACTGACTGCCTCTCCCCTAGCACGGTCAACTCCACGAAGTCGGGGCCAGGACCATCCTGGTCAAGGCTGTGTCCCTGGTGCCAAGGACAGGCCTGGCCATTGTAAGAGCTCAAGAAACAACGAACACATGAACGAATGGCCCCACAGACGAGGTGGTAAGATAAGAGGTTTGAGACCATACACTGTGGCTGAGGGGGGGTGTCCTGGGAGTTCCCCATTTCAGGGCAGCTCAGGCTGGAGCCTGTAGGAGAGGCTAATGGGGGAAGGAGAACAGGAGGGAATCAGGTCGGAGGCAGCAGAGGACAGTGTCCAGGAGGGTGGGAAAGAGGGACGTCTCCCCCCCCCTCCCCCCCAGAAGTCCCACTCACCAGGGTTGGGCCTCCTTTGGGCATTCCTGGCCACGGTCGCATCTGACCCACTGAGAACCCAGGGCTCCTCACCACACTCCAGCTGGATGACTATTCGGGGTCGAGAGGCAGAGAGTCCTGTGACACAAGATGAGCAAGTGAGGAGCCAGCCCCAGCTCATGACAATCAATTGCCCAACAGCTGGCAGGAGTCAGCGCTTCATGCGTCAGGCATGGTGTCACCTGTGCAACTATGAAAACCTGAATGTGCCGCCACAGGTCAGAGCTCACAGGAACCGCTTAATGGTGCCTGTGAGCAGGAGAAACGTGTTGGCAGTGCCAAAGGAGCCCAGGCGCAGAGTGGCCATAGCCGGACAGAGATGCTACGCCGGTGGGTGTGGGGCTGCTCACAGGCCACCAGGAGATAAGGGGTTGGTGCTGGTGGAGCAGCCCGGCCACGACTAAGCTTTTCTGTGGAGGACCCAGGGCCTTACCCAGTGAGGCCACGAGTGCAAAGTTCTCCAGCATCACATGTCGGTACAAGGCCCTCTGCGCTGCGTCCAAGAGCCCCCACTCTTCCCTGGAGAAGTACACGGCCACATCCTCAAAGACCATCAGGCCCTACAACAGTGAGCAGGGGAAGACGGACATGGTGTCAGTTATGGCTGTGTGACCCAGGACCCAGTTCTCTGTCCCAATGGCTACTTCCCCTGAACCCCCCCAGACATTTACTTCCTCTCCTGCCCCAGGGCTCTGGAGATGCAACTGCCCTCACCTGTCTGGGCCTCCTCCCTGACTAGGCCTTAGATGCCTCCTCAGCCTGCTCACTGGCCCCTCCAGACAGGGCAGCCACAGCAAGTCCCAGGCCATCAGAAGGCCGCCAACCCAAGGGCTGTTGCAGGCATCCGGTCATTCTCCAGCCTCGGCACAAGCTGACTCTCCCCAGACCTGCCCCTATTGCTTCCGCAATAAGCAGCTGTATAGTAAGTCCCAGCTGTCTCCCTCCTAACCACATGCCCATCTCTGTTGGCAATGCCTGGCCCTGCTGAACTTGCCTGGTGTTTTAAGGCCATTCCTCCAGCCTGAAGGACTGGCCGATCCTCTCCAGTCTCCACAGGGTGAACGGAAGGATCTAGGGGGCCAGTTCTTCCCTCCATAGCCACACCGCCTCTATATCCTTCTCACTTGGCTGCCACCTGCGAGACTTCCCAAGAACCTCAGAAACTGCCAGCAGGTCTTCGTCCACCTGGCCGAGTCTGTGAAAGCCCCTCCTACGTTTGATTCCCAAGCCCTGCCCCAGCTCTGAATACCAGGACTCTGTCCCTGAAAATCAACAGTTCCAGGTGCACGTGATGCCTCAACTCTGGGGCAGATTTTTCCGGATTCTCCCCAGGGAACCTGCTTTCCTTTCAAATTCATGATTTAGTCTCCAGAAGCTCCATTCTTCTGGTGCTCAGACTAAAAGCACTTTGGAAGGTGCATCCACCCCCACCCCCACCTGGTAATAAGACAGACTCCTGGGAATTCAACCGCTTTCCAGTCTCCAAAAACCCAATCTGGTCCACGTACTACCATCGCTCCCTCCCTGCACACCAACATCCCCCTCTGCGTCCATTCTCCACTCAGGAAACGGCGGAACAGGTTAAAATTCCTCACTTAAACCATGTCCAAAATCTTCCATAGCTCCCGGCGACCTCGGGATAGTCCACGCCGGGGCCTGGCAGCACATGCATCCTATCTCCTGTCCCCGAGCTCCACGTGAAAAGCTGTGGTCTGGAAGCACCTAGGCTGTCTCCCCTCCCAGCTTTCACATGTGCGAGACCCTCACCCTCTAGGCTGCCAGAAATGGGGATCCCATACGTGAACAGAGGACTGGACTAGACACCGGGTCCAGGGCGCATCGAGAAGGGAAGACAAGACGTCCATATAAAGTCCCTCCTCGGCGGGGCTCTGGTCCATGGCGGAGGGGTCCGGGCAGGCGGGTGGGGTCTGGGGCTCCCTCTACTCACCTGCGCCGCTGCCGCCATCGGAATCTGCGCGTGCGGCGGACGAGCCCGGCGCCCCTACTCCTGGCCTCAGTCTCCCGGTCCGTTAAGGGCGCAGACGTCCAGGGTACCGCCTCCGCGGCGCCCCCGAGGCCGGAGAGCACGTGGGTCCGGGCACCGCCCGAAGGCCCCAGGGGGCAGCCCACGCTACACCGGAGAAACCGAGGCCGGGGGGGCGTGGCCGTTGGCCCGCAAGCACGGCGCGCGCGGAGCGGGCCCTGCGCCCACGCCTTCCTCGCGCCCTCGCCTCCGCTCTCCAGAACCTCCTGGAAAGCCGGACCGACGAGCCGCGCTCCCGCTCCCAACACCGTCGTGGCCTGACGCCCCACAGCGAAGTGACAGTCTCGGAGGCCGGAAGTTCGACCCTCGCCAGCCCTCACGCGCCCAATGCGCGCGGCAGCCTCACGCGCAGAGCCTTCTGGGAAGGGTAGTTCCAGGGTGCCTTTCGGCCGCGATCACGACGGCGGCGGCGGCGGCGAAACAATAACGCTAACGGCTCTCACGTACTGAGCAGCCCATCCCTGGACCTTGTATTTGCCAAGTTTCCTCCCTGGACTTTGCCGTAGAGCAGAATGCGAGTGAGCATCCCAATTCCTCAGGAGAGCGGGTCTACCCCAGAGTTTCCGATTCCGCGCAATGGGGCGAGAGCTTGCATTTCTGGCAAGTTCCCTAGTGATGCTGATAGTACTGGCTCAGGGACCGCAGTGTGGAGATCGATGACTAAAAGACATTTAATATTACTGAACCAAGTCTCCTGGGCGGAGATATCTCCATTTCACCTACAGAAGAAAAGTGTTTCCCAGCGGCCCCTCAGGGCTGGCAGCCCAAGGCCCAGGACACGGGTCACTTGCCGGACATCGCTGAGGGACGAAATCTGGGGGCCACCCCTTTAAGGGGAAGCGAAGCCACCACCCAGTTGTTCTTTCTAGCGGCGCTCCATTTCCCAGAACCCTTCACGGTGCCGCCGGGGCGTTGCCATGGAGAACCTGAAGACGCCCGGTCGGATGCAGGCCGAACTACATTGACCAGAAGACCCGGCGGGATGGCGGCGGACCTGCGCCAATCACGACCCAAAATAAGAGGTACTTCCTGCGGCTTAGTCGGTGGGGGCGGGCCTTCGGGCAGCCCCCTCGCGGAGGATCATTTTGCCGCTGTCAGGGCGTTCTGCGCCGCCCTCGGGCACCGGCGCGCGGCGTCCCTGCGGCTTTTCCGGCGCTCCCTCAGGACCAGCCGGGGAAGACAGTGAGAGGGATGGGGCCAACCTCCGCGCTGCCCACTGGCCGTGATGCCCCGTCACAGGAGTCCCGCGCCCCGCCCTCGGTGCCCGCGGCCCGCGGAGGCGGCGCCCTGGGCCCCGCGCGCGTTTGCACCGGGGACTGGCGGGTGGCGGGCGGGCATCCGACTCCGTGCGGGTTCAATGGCGGCAGCGGCGGCGCAGACGGGCCCGGTGCTGGTGAGTGGAGGGCACCCCGCGACCCTCTCACTCGGTCCCCACACACGGGGCCCGGCACCCCCCGTGCAGGGGAGACGGGTGTCCCTGGACTCTTCTCCACCCCCTTCCTTCGCTACTGGGGACCCTACGGTCACCCCAAACAGGGGGCCTATGGAAAGATCGTCATTTCTGGGACGCATCAGGACAAGGTGTGGGACGCTGTTTCGAGCACAGGGACCAGGATGTGCAAATACTTGGAGGTGAGGCTGACCTGGGCGTGTGCGGGGACCTGCAGGTCGGCCTCAGGACCGGTGGGCAGCAGTCAGGCCTGGAGTGGCAGCCTGGGATGCTGGGCCAGTCGTCTGAGGGAGATGGGAAGGACTGGAGCAGCGGAGAGCGATGAGATTCGGGTGTTCACAGGCTCCCTGTGGCTGCAGAGTGGAGAACAGGGCGCAGGGGTGAGGGTGAGCAAGGAGAAAGGGCGGTCCATGAGGATGTTACCTGAACAGACCAGGGAGCGGCAGTCGTGGCTCGGCCAGAGTGTTGATAGAGCTGGGGGAAGGGATCAGATCTCGGATCTTTGAAGTGAGGCCAGCCAGGTCTTTTGATGGGGGGGAGGGGGGGCAGGGCAGTGGGTGAGCTAAGGGTGTCTTCGTGGATTTTGGCACCAGCCACTGGAAGGTGGAAGTGAAGTGACTGAGATGGGAAGTCAGGGAAGATCAGGAGGTGGATTTTGAGCATGTTGAGGCCGAGCTGTTTTGAGTGGAGGTGATGGATGGGCGGCCGGACAGGCAGGTCTACGTTCTACGGAGGGATTTGGCTTGGAGACGGGCAGTCGGCCGCGGCCAGCCCGTGAACCGAAGGGGAGCCCTGGATCAGACTCAGGAGGCGGCATCTGCAGGTCACGGTCGGGCAGCTGAGCACTGGGTGGCTGGCCTGGGTCACAATGTCAGATGAAGGGAGGAGCAGCCACAAAGGAGGGTGTGTAGGGGAGAGGAGGGTCCAGAAGGTGACCAGGGTCACTCGGATGGAGACTGAGACATATCGGAGACAGAGGTGTGCGGACAGTGGGACTGGGTCTGGTACTCATGGTACTGGAGTTTAGGGGGGGGGAGGAGGGGGACCTAGGAGTGTCAGGGGCAGTTTTGCCCACCAGATGTGGCAGGAGGTGGGGTCACAGGCCTAGGTCTTGATGGGTTCATCTGTTTTTTGTTTGTCTTTCTGCCACCTTTTGGTCTGGTGGACTTAGTTGTCCCCATCATGGCAGGGCTGTGTGACCTTTGAAGACATGGCGTGTACTTATCCCGGAAGGAGTGGAGGCTCCTGGATGAGGCTCAGAGACGCCTGTACCACAGAGTGATGCTGGAGAACTTGGCACTTGTGGCCTTGCTGGGTAAGGCCCTCACCCTTCCGGCCTCCTGTTCTAGGCTCTGCTTTTCCTCTTCTCCCAGGAGCAGCATCTTCCCACAGCTGAGCATGGACACTGCTTCCTCCCCTGAGCTACCTGCTGTGTGTCCACAGCTGGGCCGCAGGTACACCTGCTCCTCTCCGAGGAGACCCAACAGCTGCGTCTGAAGCCTTCCTGGCCAGGGCCCGGGACTGGGAGCCAGAGTCAGGCTGCCTGAGTTTTTCCAGATGGGCAGGGCCCAGGTTCTGCCCCTTTTTCTGTCACACATCACATTTCCAGGGGTCTGGCTGTGCCATGGACTGTAGACCTCAACATGGTCAGGGCCTGTGGGGACCCCTGGGCTGTTCCTGTGAGACAGCCACCCCTCAGAAGCTTATTTTGTAATATTGTATTTTCTTCCCATTTGTAAAGATGACATGAACTCCCTCTGGTCTGTCACAGGGTGGGTTGCCCTGAGCTGGGCCAGCCGCTTACCCACCCTGTCTTTCTCCCAGGACTTGCATCTTCCAAGCTCTGTGTGGCTGCCCACCTGGAACAGGGCAAACAGCACTGGGTGCCTGATAAGGTGGACATGTCTGCAGCTACTCCAAGAGAGGCAGAGAGGGGGCTTGGCTGTGGGGAATGGGAGCTGGGGGCAGATGTGAGATGGGACAGGGCTCACACTGTACTGTGTACTTGCTGTGTCCACTAATGCTTGTGGCTGGGGCCAGTGGCCACATCTTACTCCCACCTTCTTGCCTTTTCTACTTTCTCCCTGGTCCCTCTATTACGGACGACCCCACTGCTCTGATTTCTGCCTCTCCCCCATTCTCCTCATCCCTTGCCTTTGCAGGGCCATCCCACATCAGCCTCCACCCAGTGTGCTAGGAGATGAGTGCATGTGCTCACAGAGACTTGGGCTCCAGGTGCCCAGGGGCAGCTGGATTTTCCCAAGTTTGTGCGCATCACTCTCCGTCCCTCTTCCTTGTCACAGATCTGGGGCCTGCCTGTACGGGTGGGCCCTGCTGAAAGCTAAGGAGTGGGTGGAGGTCCCTGCCTCTCCTCCCAGCCTGGACCCCACACCTGCATTCTCCTACATGATAAGGGCTTGCCTCCTGTGGCTTTTGTTTTTTAAAGATTTATTTATTTTTAGAGAGGGGAAGGAAGGGAGAAAAAGAGGTAGAGAAACACTGATATGTGAGAGATACATCAATTGGTTGCCTCTTGCACACACCCAACTGGGGACCTGGCCCACAACCCAGGCACGTGTCCTGACTGGGAATCAAACCAGCAACCTTTTGATTTGCAGGCTGGCACTCAATCCACTGAGCCACACCAGCCGGGGCTCCTGTGACTTCATTGAGCCAAGTCCTGCACTGTAGGCTCTACTGCACCCTCACTGGATCCTATCGACTCATCCCTGAATGTGTAAGACACACATCTGGGAAGAGGTTGTCCCAACAAAGCCTACACAGACTTCACCAGCATTTCTCTGCTTTCAGGTTGCTGGTGTGGAGTGGAGGAAACCCTCCTGAGCAGCATGTCCTGTTCGGGCCCCACTAAGGCAGCTCCTTCCAACCAGAGGGCCAACCCCTGTGACATATGTGGTCTGGTCTTGCAAGACACCTTACACCTGGCTGATCCCCAGGGCATACGTCCAAGGCAGACATTGTGTAAGTGGGAGGCACGTGGAAAGGACTGGCTCAGTGCAAAATCTCGCCAGCATCGGAAGCAGCACAGTGGAGAGAAAGCCTTCACGTGCAGGGAGTGTAGGGAGCATGTCTGGGGCAGCCATGACCTCTTCCAGCTCCAGGCCACCCACAGCGAGGGGAAGCCGCGCAGGAGCCCGCGGCACCGGGAGCCCTTCCTGCCCGGCTCCAGTCGCAAGCAGCAGCAGCAGGGAGTCCGCGCCACACGGAAGCCCTTCAAGTGCAGCGGCTGCAGGAAAGCCTTCCCGGAGGCCTTCGCGGTCCTCCACCACCCAGTGACTCCAAAGACGAACCCTTCAGGTGCCCAGTAGGTGGAAATGCCCCCAAGGAGAACTTGACTCTTGTTATCACCAGAATCATACTGGAGAAACATCCCACGGCGTATGGAACGCAGGAAGGCCTTCAGCCACCTGTTTCAACTGAGGATGAAAGTTCAGGCTTGAAAAACTCACCACAGTTGCAATGAATGTGGGAAAGCGTCCAGCTGCAAACATGCGCTCGGTCAGCTGTACGAGTGTAACAAATGGGGAAAAGCTTCCACTGCAGCTCAGACCTCTGTAAGCACCAGAGGGGTCCCACTGGGAAAGGGCTCCGAGTGCACGGACACAGGAGCATCCTCTGCCAGAGCCCCGCCCACGCAGCACCAGAGCGGTCCCACCAGAGGAGGGCCTCAGCAGTGCGGCACCAGGGAAGCACAAGCTGGAGCTCTCTCCTTGTTCCCCATGAAAGGACTCACTCTGAGGCCACCTTTGTGGAAGGAACCTCTGTGAGGAAGCCATCAGCCAAAAGTGGAAACTTGCACATCCCAATACCCCCACCAGCACATTGCCCATTGGTGCCTTAAACGGGGGGAAGCTTTCAGGGGCTACACTAACCTGTCCAGGTGCCATCTCACCTCTGCCAGCTGGCAAGCCCTCAGAGCAAGTGCCTGTCACCACAACATACTCAGGGAAGGCAGACCTGTGTCCTCTCATTCCCTTCAGGGAGCCATGAGTGATGGGTGTCCTTTGGAGTGGCCTCATATTCCACCTCTCCGCTGTCCCCAGTGGTTCAGGCATCCTGACCTGTTCTAGAAGGATTTGGGGTCGGACCCCATCCTCAGAGATTTCCCTTCTTTGTAGGCTTTGTCGAGTCTGCAGATGATACCAGGACGGCAAGGAATAGCTTGCTCTCAAGCTTAACCTATTTGCCCTGTGGCCCAAGGCCGCCTGGGACAGACAAGATCTCTGGGTCAAATCTTGTGTCTGGAAGCCAGGACCGCCTGCTGGGCCCAGAGCTCTGGGAAGGGGGCATTTGATGTGGCACTCTGCAGTGCTTCCTGGGCAGCACTCCCGCGATCCTGGTAACGCCCCATGTTCCCAAGGAGTGTCGAGGGGTCACTGTCTCCTAGGACCTGCCCGTGACTAAGGCCCCTGAAGTCCAGAATCGTAGGTAGGGGTCACTAGATATAAGGTCTGCAGGGGCCAGGTGGAAACATAAATGGGTGCAGAAACAGTGGGTTTGAGATCAGCAGGTAGGGAGACTGGCAAATGGAGGAGGTACAGGAGCTGCTGGGCCTGGGCCATATCAACCCACTCACAGTGACATCACATGGGGAGCTTGAAATCAGTCATGGTGGAACTTAACCACTAAAAAATAGCAAGCAATAGCTTTCTGCAAAATAAAACCCTGAGAAAGACTGATTTACAGGGTTTGCCAAATTTGCTGGCAGCCACCTTGGGAGACTCAGCTCTGCAAGTTTGCAGACATCCTGCACACCCTCGTCTTGTCCTCTAGAACAAGTGTGGCTGTCCCTTTGGCAGAGGCACAACAGGCAGTGTCCTGCTTTCTGCCAGAGCGGAGTACCCTAAGGTGGTGTGGACTCCTTTAGCCTCCCTGGGCTGTTCACTTCAAGGCTGTCACGGCATAGGCAGGGACTGAGAAGCGATCTGGCAGTTCCAGGTGAGTTGGTTTTTGCTGCCACTGAGGCAGGGTGGTCCCCACGCACAGGAGGCAGAGATGATAGAACCAACATGGTTGTTGCCCCACTTTCTGCTTTTCTAAGAGGAGTGAAAGATCCTTTTTTTTTTTTTTTTTTTAATGTGGATCTTTTTCTGTTTTGTTTTTTTCATTTTTCAACTGCCTTTGATTTATAAATGATTTTTTGTGGGGTTTGTTTTTTTTTTTAAGATTTTACTTCTTTTCAGAGAGTGGGGAAGAGAAGAAGAAAAAGAGGGAGAGACACCTCTGTTGGTTGCCTCTCACACACCCCCAACTGGAGACCTGGCAGCCAACGCAGGCATGTTCCCTGACTGGGAATTGAACTGGCAACCTTTCAGTTTGCAGGCTGGTGCTCAATCCACCGAGCCACACCAGCCAGGGCGATTTTATAAATGTTGACAACTATTTCCGCAAAACTTCTATACAAAGAATACAGGTGTATATGTTGCATACGTGTTCCTGGGCCAACAATGGTCACTCTCAGAAAATAAGCAGGCCTCCAGGAGTCCTGGGTCCCCAGACATAAAGGCTCTGACCCACGGTGTTTGCCACATGGCATGCCACACACGGGCAGTGGCACTCAGGATGACTCTCCCCGCCACCCTGGTCCTGATGATGATCACATGAGAGATGGCATCCCAGGCAGGACCGTGGGCAGCCACACATGTGGCAGGCCAGCCTAAGCTCTCCCTAGGATCAGTCCTAGGATCCCTTGGACTCAGGCCATCTCTTCTGGGTCTAATAACTATATTCCACCAATATGAGGGGCTTGGGATCACAGTTAAAGCTCAGTTGAACTTTGGGACCTCCAGCCTCCAAGCAAAGGGATCACCAAGAGGTCAACTCCTTGTACACATGTGCTCAGCTATCGTTCAGTAGACACAACACTGCTCCCAGGACGTGAATGACCTCTTCACTTGCCTTCTGCTCTCCCCACCAGGGTTCTATGCACCAGTCAACTTACTGGAACCTTAGTATCTCCCTGGTGAGGCCAGGACGTAACAAACAGGTTTTCAAGAACTAAAGATAAGTATCAGCTCAGGAGGACATGTTAAGGGGAGGGCCATGCCAGTGCCGGAGGACCTAGCTACAGAGGGGAGAATGGGAAAGGCTAAAAGGCAGAGGATAGAGGGGGGTCACCCAGGGGACTGGGGTTGGGGGAAAGCAGGGTGGGTGTTAGAGGAGCCAAAAAGATAGAAAGGAGGCACGGCTACACACTGTGGTGCCAGGACAGCAAAGGGCACAGGTCAGGTACCAGGGGAGAGACCAGCCTGCTGCCATGGGCCCTCCCACACTCTCCTTGGACTCACCAGGGCTGGTCCTGCATGGGCCACTCTGGCCATGGCCTGATTTGAGCTGCCCTGTGCCCCAGCCAGGTCTCCTTTTAGTGGTCAAGTTGTGTGACCACATTGCGGGGGGCGGTGGGGCGGGGCGAGTGGAGGCAGCAATTCTTATAGGGGATCAAGTGCTTTGTGATGGGCCAGGGTGGGTGACGATCACTAAACCTCCAGACGGACGTGCAGGGAAGGCCTTCCCTGGAAAAGCTCCGGCATCCCACAATCAAGGACCGTGTCCCCGTGAGGCCAGTACCAGAGGCGACACGGAGCCGCTGGCAGAAAACGCGGGCTGGACTGAAGTGTGACAGGACAGAAAAGCAGCAGACCCTGACTGGGTCACCTGCCGGGAAAATAACTGAGCTTGACGTGATCTGCTAAACAGTGTGTGATTTTTTTTTTTTAAAGATTGTATTTATTTATTTTTAGAGAGCGGGGAAGGGTGGGAGAGAGGTAGAGAAACATCCCTGTGTGGTTGCCTCTCGCGCTCCCCCAACTGTGGACCTGGCCCGCAACCCAGGCCCGTGCCCTGATGTGGAATCGAACTGGCAACCCTTCGGTTCACAGGCCAGCGCACAATCCACTGAGCCACACCAGCCAGGAGGAGCCCACTTTTTCTGAAAGAGATACGTGACCTTGTCCTGGAAGGTCACTGGGTCCTGCAACACCAGACCGGGGAGGCAGATGAATGTGATCTAAGCACTGGCACAGAACACAGGACTCCAGCCTGGCCTTACAGCCACATCTTCTGTGTTTCCCACACGCTGTCCCCTAAAGTATCTGAGAGCGGGGGCTCTCCTGCCGGAAATTCATTCTCCCAAGATCCACGGGTCTTTGGAAAGTGCCTCTCTTTCCTGCTCCCACGTTCCTCCACCCAGCCAGTGGTCCTTAGCCTGGACACCCCAGGGCCCATCTGCAGCCGCGGCCTTCCAAAGTCCCATTCTCTGCCCGTCCTTTGTCCCCGCCACCACTGCACTGCAGCCTGGACACCGGGAGGCCAAACTGGAACTCCCTGTGTGTTCGCATGGGCATGTGTCTGTCACCTCTTTGCACAAGCCTCCCGACAACCAGGACTCAACACCTACAAAATCCAGCTACTAATTTCCAAAACGTCCCCTTCCTGCCACCTTCTTTTCTCCACGGGCAGCACCTCATTCTTCCTAAACATTTGGGATGGTCCTTCATTCAGCCCCACGCCAGCAGGAATCTACGCGGAATCTGACCACGTAACCCCGCGCCCTGCTTCTATGGCAGACAGGCCACCCTCGCAGCCGTCCTGAGGAATATTGCCGCAGCCGCAACCTGAGTCTCGCCGCTCCCAGCCGTCCACGAGGTGGGACTCCGACTCACGCTCTCGGTCCCCTGCAGCGGAGAAAAGCCTCTCCCGAGCGCGCTCAGGTGGGTCTCACCGCCGAGGCCGTGCACATGCGGATCTACCTGTACACCCTCCACATCTTACCAGCCAGGTTTCTGAAAGGAGACCCCCACCGATCGGAACGCCGAGTCCTGGGGCTCAGAGGCGAACTTAGGGCACGGGGGCTCAGAGTCCAGCCGGGTGGGGCCAGGAGGCCCTTCCTCACCGCCGGCTAGTCGCTCGGCTCCCGCGTCAGGCCCGTAGTGCGGCCGCGGGTTGGGTCCTCACCTCGGAACGCCTAGCCTGGGCCTCGGGCTCCGCAAAGCGGACACCACGCCGCCGGCCCCTCGGAACCGCCCCCTCACGGCCGCGGACACCCTGGCTGTTGGAGGTCGTATTTCGCTGCATTACGTGGCGTACGCGGTGCCCAGACTCTCGTGCTCTCCCCGCTCCCGTTCCCTTGGGCGCCGGAAGCCTCCTGGGAAAGATCCACAGCCCGGCAGCTCGGCTCTTCCGCTCTGTGAGGACCTAACGGCTTTACGCCCGAGCCACGGACACGGGAAATTCCGTCCCGCCCCTCGACGACTATTCGCCGGAGTACGTCCAGAAATGCCCCTTCCTAAGCTGTCATTGGCCAGCAGCGGTGAGGGCGCTCGGCGAGGGGCTGTTCGGGTAATGTAGTTCGCGTCTCGTGAGCCGCGACTCGCGGTGCGGCTTTCCTGGTCACCTAGGCAACGACCAAGCGGCACTGCCATTGGCTCAAAAAATAGAGTCGTTGTCGGCGGCGAGCCTGGAGCCAATCAAGCTCGCGACTGGGACGCGTTCGAGGGGGGAGCCGAGTACGGACCGGGACTTCCGTCGTCGCCGTTGCGTAGTCGTTTGGCCCCGGACGCCCGGCGTAGGCGGCCGCTGAACTTGAGGAGAAGGGGGCGGAGAGGTGCCAGGACACCTCGCCAGACGTACACAGGCACTTTCGCCCCCGCTAACGATCGCTCCTTCCAGACCCTCGATTTTCCCGGGTGTGGAACCGACCCGACGAGTCTCCGCATCCCGCCTTCGTCGCGCGGCCTCTGGAGGAAGCTCCTAGCTCTTCGGGTCCCTTTATACTGTGGAGACTGAGGCCCTAAGTGCGACTGTCAGCCCTTGGTCGCCGCCCAGTGCGGGGTGGGGTTAGGATGAGCCTGCGGGTTCCGACCCGGCCGGGAGCGTCGCGCAAGAACTCGCCGAAGGTGAGTGGAGGATCCCGTCCTCATGATCCGGGATTTAGGAAGCGGCGGTGCCAAGGACCTTCGCCTGCAGGAGTCTGGGGACCTGCCTATCCAGGCCAGAGCTCCCATAGTAGGGCTTCACATTTTTAGAATCCTATGGGATAAGGCCTGGAAGAGCGTCCGGGCATAGGGCTGAAGTGGAAGTGTCCCGGGAACTGCAGGTCTCCATTTCGTCTGCTGCAAATAGAGGACCAGGGCGGCCAGAGTCAGGCCTGGGATGGCAGGCTGGCGGGCCGGGCCTCTAATCCGAGGTGGGAGGAGTCGAGGAAAGTTTGGAGCGTTGGAGGGAGGTGATGTGATCAGGCCTTAACCTGCTCCCTCTGGATGGCGGGCGGAGCAGCAGCGTGGCGAGGTTGGAGGCAGGAAGAGCATCCAGGAGGTGACGGCCATCGGCCAGGTTCCTTTGCTGGCTGGACCAGCAGTGCGTCCGCAGACAAAGGAGAAGCAGCTCCTGGATCTGCTTTTCAAGCCGTGGATTTGATAGCCTGATGTGGGCATTGAGGTGTCAGGGTGGGCTCTGATAGGTTCTTCAGCTGTGGAAGTCGGTGTGAGGAGGAGATTTCAGGGGGAAGGTTAAGATTAGGGTTTCAAGGGGAAGAGCTGAGGGAGGGAAGGAGGGAGGGGGCAAGGGAAAGTGGGGGGGGGCAGAGACAAATGTATTTAAAAAGTAAAATTAAAAAAATACAGTATTTTAAAAAAATAAATAAATAGGAAATTTGAAAGAAAAAAACAAAAAAGATCGGGGTTTCGGCCATACTGTATTTGAGACGGGCTGCAGACTGCCAGGTCGGGGCTGGAGACGGCCAAGGGTTGCAGGCTTGGGTGGACGCCGTGTGCAGCTGTGGGCTGGGTTCAGGGTGCTGACCAAGCCTCTTAGCAGAGAGTAGACTTGGGATAAAAATATGAAGCGTAGAAGCGGTCGGATGACAGTGAGACCTGACGTTAGGGCGGTTTATATTGCTACAGCTTATCGGGTGTTGGGGGCCTAGGGGTTTTGTCCGTCTGGTGGAGCAGCAGGAGCAGAAAAGGTCAGGCTGAGTCCCTGCGCGGATGGTGGGGACTAAGGGATCTGGGATGTGTGTATTAAGGAGAGCGAGGACAGCTGTGACTGGCCAGCATGTGCAAGGGCAGAGGTGGATAAGGACAGGAGTGTCTGGAATCTATTCATGGTTCCACGGAGCTGAAGGCTGAAGCAGCCGGGCGAGGAGGGGAGGCATTTGCTAGAGGGGCGATGGCTGTCTCCTGCAGAGGGGGTTTCTGGAGATCTGGGGCAGACCAGGTCTTTATTGGATGCTGGTTGTCTTTCTCAGGTATGCCATGTGCACAGGGGAATATGGGGGCTCCAGGGAGTTGCCCACGGTGTGGACCCAGGGTAGAGGGGTGGAGAAGTGCAAGTAATGTGGTGCCTGTAGAAGGCAAGGGGAATCAGTGGGCCCTGGTGCTAGAGGCTTGAGGCAGAGAGGAGAGCCTCCATATTCGCGTATCTGGGGCATATGAGGGAAAGCGGCCAGTGTGGGGAGGGGAGCAGCCTGCCAGCCCAGCGCTCAGACAGCATCTATCTGCCCACCTGGCTTTTGTTCCTCTAGATTGTATTGGCCTGAATACAGTGACTGTGGGAGTCCAAGGAAAGGGATTCGAATGGTTCCAGGGCCTCTGAAGCGGGGGCCTGAGGAGGATGGACTGAGAGGGTTACGAGAAGAAGAGATGTCAGTGGTAGATACTGCAGAGCTCTGAGTCACAGGGCAAGGGCCTGGATGTGTCCACTTGACTATTTTGTTTCTTTGTTTTGTAGCCCACTTTTTGGCCCCCCTTCTCATCATTGCGGAGCCCAGTGACATTTGAGGATGTGGCCGTGCACTTCTCCCGGGAGGAGTGGGGGCTCCTTGATGAGGCTCAGAGGCACCTGTATCATGATGTGATGCTGGAGAACTTTAAGCTCATGACCTCACTTGGTAAGACCCTTATGCCCTGCCCTGCCATGGTGACCAGGTTCTGCCCTATACCTTTTTCCCATAGAAAGTGCTGTTTTTCCCAAATCCCAACCGTGGATGAGGCTTCCTTTCCAGGTTTCATGTTGTAGAAGCTGGGACTGGGCTGTGTGTACTCCCCTGTCTCTCTCTGGACAGCCTCACAAGTGATCCTAATAGCTGTTGCCCAGATGCTTTGTAGGAGCAGAGATTGAGGATCAGGCATTTCTCTGCTCTGCCTAATGGATCACACTGAACTTGACCCAGTGTGAGGTCATGCCCAGGTTCTGCCCCTTCCCCCATGAGACATTTTTTAAAAACAGTTTTAGCCCTAGCCAGCGTGGCTCAGTTGGTTGGAGTGTCGTCCCGTAAACCTAAAGGTTGTGGGTTCAATTCCTGGTCAGGGCACATGCCTTGGTTGCGCGTTTGGTCCCCAGTAGGGGCACATGCAAGAAGCAACCGATCAATGTTTTGCTCTCATCTCACATTAATGTTTCTCTTCATCTTTTTCTCTTCCCCTTCCTGTCTTTCTAAAATATTAATAAGCATGTGCTCAAGTGAGGATTTAAAAAAAACAGCTTTATTGAGATACACCATGAAGATCACCCTTTAAAAGTATATGTTTACGTAGTTGTATAAATATCACAATCCGATTTTAGAACATTTTTATCACCTAAAGGGAAACTTTATACCCTCTATTCCCTCATCCTTTTCCCCCTTGAGTCATGGGCAACTTCTAATCTACATTCTGACTATGCAGATATGCTTATTCTAGACGTTTCATATAAATGGAATCATAGAATTTATGTTTCTCTGTGACTACCTTTCACTTAGCTTACATTTCAGAGGTTCACCCATGTTGTAGCATATACAATATTTATTCCTTTTTATGGCCAAAAAATACTCCATTGTATAAAGTTCACGTATCCAGTTAATGGACTTTTGGCTTGTTTCTACTTCTTGGCCATCATGAAAAATACTGCTGTGAACATTCACATACAAGTTTTGTGTAGATATGTTTTCATTTCTCTTGGGTAGATATATATATATATATATACACACACACACATAGGAATGGAACTACCCAACTGTTTTCCAAAATGGCGACATCATTTTACACTCCCACTGCACTGCATGAGTGTTCCTGTTTCCATCCTTCCTCAGCAACACTTCCTATTGTCTTATAGCCATTCTTGTGGGTGTGAGGTGGTATCTCATTATGGTTTGGATTTGCATTTCTCTAATGACTAATGATGTTGCATATCTTTTCATGTGTTTACTGGCCATGTGTGTGTACACGCATCTCCCTTTGAGGACTGTTTATGCATGTCCTTTGTCCCATCTCTGTCCTCACCTCTGGTGAGGCCTCCTTTGTTCTGTGGCATAGCTGGGTGTCATTCTGCACAGTCAGCCCTTCACTCTCACTCTGGCCCCCTTAACCCTTCAACAATCCCTTGGGCCCCTTCCTATATGTGTCAGTTACACATTTCTAATGAAGTCACCCTTTCTACCAAGTGGAACACTCAATTAACCAGAAATTTCTCTGCTCTCAGGTTGTTGGCATGAAGTGAAAGTTGAGGCCCGTTCTAAGCAGAATGCTCCTGTGGAAGGGGTGTTCCAGGTCAGGATCCCCAATATATATCCTTCTACCCGGAAGACTGATACCTGTGACATGTGTGGCCCATTCATGACAGACATTTTACATCTAGATGAGCATCAAGGAACACATCCTGAGGAGGCGCCCTACACATGTGGAACATGTGGAAGACAGTTTTGGTTCAGTGCAAACCTTCCCCAGTACCAGGAGCACAGTGGAGAGAAGCCCTTCAGATGGGACAAGAACAGGGATTCCTTTTTTAAGAGCTCTATGGTCTGCCTGTCAGAGAAGCCCTTCACTTGCAGGCAAGGTGGTAAGGATGTCTCAGACAGCCATGACCTCCATCAGTACCCGGCCTCTGACAGCAGTGGGAAGTCACACAGGAGCACCGAGTGCAGAGAGTCCTTCCCACATAGTTCCAACTTTGGGCAGCTCCCAGAAGGCCATACCACAAAGAAGCTCAAGCACAGTGACTGTGGCAAAGCCTTCCAGAACAGATCGGCCCTCCTCAGCCACACGAAAACTCACTCTGAACAGACACCATTTAAACGCCCAACAGTTGGAAATTCCTTAGAGGAGAAATCAAACCTTGTTAATTACCAAAAATCTCACACCGGAGAAACATCTTACCAGTGTAAAGAGTGTGGGAAGGCCTTTAGGTACCCATCTAAGCTGAGGAAGCACCAGAAATTTCACACTGGAGCAAAATACCATCAGTGTAGTGACTGTGGGAAAACACTAAGTCACAGACTCACACTTCTTCGTCACCAGAGAATCCACAGAAGAGAAAGGCCTTATGAGTGTAGTGCATGTGGGAAAGCCTTTAGTAACAGGTCACACCTCACTCGGCATGAGAGAGTTCACACTGGAGAAAAGCCTTTTCAGTGCAGCAAATGTGGAAGAGCGTTCAGCCAAAGCTCCAATTTCTTTCGGCATCAGAAAGTTCACACCCAAGTAAGACCATATAAGTGCAATCAGTGTGGTAAAGCCTTCAGCCGGAGCTCTGCTCTCATTCAACACTGGAGGATTCACAGTGGAGAAAGGCCTTTTGAGTGCCGTGAGTGTGGGAGAGCTTTTAACAATAACTCCAATCTTGCTCAGCACCAGAAAGTTCACACTGGAGAACGACCTTTTGAATGTAGTGAATGTGGAAAAAACTTTAGCCAAAGCTCCCACCTCCTTCGACATCAGAAAGTTCACACTGGAGAACGGCCATTTGAATGTCGTGAATGTGGGAAAGCGTTCAGCAACAGCACCATCCTCATTCAGCACGAGAAAGTACACACTGGGCAAAGGCCTTACAAATGCAGCAAATGCAGGAAAGCCTTCAGCCGCAGCTCCAGCCTGATGCAGCACTGGAGGATTCACACAGGAGAAAGGCCTTATGACTGCAGCGAATGTGGGAAGGCCTTTGCTCACAGTTCGAGTCTCATTGAGCACTGGAGAGTTCATACAAGGGAAAGGCCGTATGAGTGCAATGAATGTGGGAAATTCTTTAGCCAAAACTCCATTCTCATTAAACATCAGAAAGTTCACACTGGAGAAAGGCCTTATGAGTGCAGTGAATGTGGGAAATTGTTTAGCCGAAAGTCCAGCCTCATTTATCATTGGAGAGTTCACACTGGAGAAAGGCCTTATGAGTGCAGTGAGTGCGGGAGAGCCTTCAGCAACAACTCTCACCTGGTTCGTCACCAGAGAGTTCACACACAAGAAAGGCCCTACAAGTGCAGCCAGTGTGGGAAAGCTTTTAGTGAAAGGTCCACACTTGTTCGACACCAGGTAGTTCATACCAGAGAAAAGACTTATGAGTGTGGTCACTGTGGGAAACTCTTTAGCCGCCTCTGCAACCTTGCTCAGCATGAAAGGACTCATACCTGAGTGGAGCCTTATGGAAATGGACTTTGTGAGAGAGTCTTCATTCAGGTCAACCTTCATGCAGTAGAACCCCAACAGAGATATTACCCACTTGCACCACTGATGTGGAGAAGCCTTCAGACGCTACTCTGCCTTTTCCGAGTAGCCTAGGAACCTGGGCAGACCTGTCACCTAGAGCACAGTCCTCTGTCCAGCCTGCCTGGTTCCAGGCAATTGCAGTAGTCCTCAGCTTCCTGTACCTTCTCTTCCTTCCCTAGAACGAATCGGGATTGTCCTGGGCCTATTGGATGGTTTCATTCCCTATTGGATGGTTTCATTCCCATTGCCTCTGAGAGGGCTTGGGAATGAACTGATCCCATGCTGGTTAAGGGGACTCATGTGTCCAGTTTGGGCTTCTTGGGAAGATGCACATTCCCCATGGGTGGGTGGTATTCAATCAAAAATATTCCCAATATCTCCAGTACTGATTCTGGTGTTAATATTCTCAATTGCCACCAATTTGCTGTATTTTATAAAATTGACATTGTGTCCAGTCATCATGAAGACTAAGCTCTTCATCTACGAGAGTTAGAATCACTTTGCTTCCTTAAGTGACATTGTGGACTGCAGGTTTGCACGCACACCCTCCGCCCCCCCTCCCCCCAAGAATTCATTGGTTTAAGCCCTAACCCTCTCTGTGATGGTATTATGAGGTGGGGCCTTTGGGAGGTGATGAAGCTTACAGGAGATCAGGAGGATGGGATCCCATGATGGGATTAGTGTCCTTTTAAGATGTCAAGAGAGCCCTGACTGGTGTGGCTCAGTGGGTTGGGCATAATCTTGCAAACTCAGAGGTCACTGGTTTGATTTCACATCAGGGCGTGTGCCTGGGTTGCAGACCTGCTCCCTGGTTGGCCTATGCAAAAGGCAACCAATCAGTGCTACTCTCACATTCAATGTTTCTCTCCCTCTAAATAAATAAATAAATATCGTTTTTTGTTTTTAAGTCAAAAGATACCAGAGTTTCCTTTCCCCATCTTGTGAGGACAGCAAAATAATGGCCATCCATAAGCAAGGAAGAAGGCATGAAACACATCTATTTCTAGCCTCCAACATCAATGAAGCCTTGAGCCCTTGTTGGTATGTTGCTAATTCTTTTCTTAAATTTTTACTTATGATTGATTTTAAACAGGGAGGGAGAGAGAAAATAGCATCATTCCACTTATTTATGCATTCATTGGTTGACTTCTCTGTGCTATGCCCAGCAATCAAACCTGCAACCTTGGCCCACCAGGATGATGGTCCAACCAACTGAGATGCCCAGCCAGGGGTGTTACTGGGTCTTTAACAAACACAAATGTAGTCCTGATTTCAAGTGTGCAGATGTCTATGAGTACAAATGGGTGCAGGAGCGTCAGTATCCAGCCTAACATCAAGGCATGGAGAACACAGAAAGGGAGAAAACTCCAAACGGGGCAGTGAGTGAGGGGACTCGTGAAGAGGGGATACCTTGGCCCCGTTGTTGAAGAGGCATTAGTGGGAGAGGCAGAAGGGCTGGGCTGGGCCAGGGCAGGCATCTCTGACAAGCTGGGGTCACAGAACAAATGACCAGGAGCTGCTGAGTGGATTCTGGAAGAGCTACTGGCTGGGGATAGGGTAGACTTGGGGCAGCAAGGACAGAGGCTGCAACCATGGGCTGCTGGCGCTGGCTTGCCAGTTGAGCTTGAGCCAACATGATGGGATGAGCGACTCCTGCCCAAACTGGCCCTCTGAGCAGGCCAGAGGGTCAGAGCTCCTGGGCTTTGTTCAAGATGCCCCAGCCTCACCAGGGAAACTGCTCTCCACCCCCACCCCTTAGGTTGGCTGCTATGTATGGAGCCCGACCAAGAGACCAGAAAGCAGATTTAGGGCAAGTGCAGAGGACCCTTCACCCAGGTACAGGGTCACCTGCCCCCATTTGTTCAGAAACCTGCGCCCTCCCTGGCTCAGCCAGACTTTGCCCTCACAGAGACCCCCCTCGTGAGAGGCAATAATTACACCCAGGGAGGAAGGCCTCAGCAGACCTGAGGTGGGCATACAGTTTATGGTGGAGGGGAGACATTGAGCAGGCCAACCCAAAACTCCCCTGCATGCAAGTCTGCCTGGGGCTGTACCTTGTATGGTCACCACACCTGCCATGGGGGGGCGGGGGGGACCAGCCCAGTTAGAGGCAGCAGCAGTGGTTTCCAGCCCCAACACATGGTAGGAAGAGCAGTCCGGCCCACAGCCCCTCACGGGGGCCTCTGGCTCTCTCCAAACCCAGTTCCCACTTACTGTTCTTCACAGGAAGCAGTTTCAAGACAGGGACACAGGCAACATAACACGTTTTGCTGAACTGACATTGCATTTACCTTGTGGGAAAATTTCCCAACATTTTTTAAATCAAAAGGCTCCACAAACCACAAGATGAACCATTTCTCCCTTGAGCCGAGGGGCAGTGGCCGCAAAAACATTGAAGGTGTGCAGACACCAGGAACCCTGGCTGGGTCACAAAAGCCGTATCCCGGGACACCCAGGGTGACGGCCGGGAGATGGACATGCCCAGAGGCTGAGAGAATCCAGAGGGCCTGTCGGTGACTGGCTGGCTGACCCTTGGCCACAGCGGACAGGTTTGTAACCTGCGGAGTTCTGCGACCCTCGCCACCGGAAGCCACAGCTGCCAGAGCACTTGTGGAGGCCTGTCCAGACCAGCTCAGGCCTGCCAGTATACCAGACTCCCCACGCATTACCGCAGCGCTTCTGGGCCCACTTGTCTTCCAACAGGCCACTGTAGGTTTTATGGTTAGTCTAGAACTTACTCCACATTCCAGATTTCAGAGGACACGGCTTCCTCCGACCAGTGCTGGAGATTCTGGAACATTCTCTGGGAACAAGGGCCCTGGCTCATGTTGTCTCTAGACACACAGGGCATCTTATGCCAACTCTCCATTCCTGACCCACCAATAAACCTGATACCCAGCCCACACAATTTACCCACTACGCCTCTCAGTTGCTCCCTGCAGGTCTCAGGCACCAATGCCAGTGAGGCCGACCTCAGCCAGAACTGTCCTCTGCCATCCTGCTGTCCCCACCCAGACGGACAAAAGTCAAGGATCCCCAAAGAAGCCATTCTCTCTAGTCATGAGCCCAATTTTGTTCTCTATCCCCTCACAGAGATCAGAACCCCCTGTATGAAAGGTGACTTAAGCAACAAGGCCTTTATTGCCGTGCATTCCAGAGCAGTGCGAGAAAGTTCTGGGTTGGGTGGATACACAACAGGTACCATGTGTAGTATCAACAGTGTCCATGAAATCAGTCCACCTTCGCCGGAGGCCCTTGGAGACACTGCTTAGCTAAGTTGTTGGCCACAACTCAGTCATGTCCACGCCTAAACCAGTCAAGAGGAAAAAGGACCCAACACGGGCTCCACCATTCATGACTCCGGTCCACACACAGCAGGGTGAAGGATCTGCTGTCCCTGGGCACACCGGGGTGATGAGGCACATGTGGGGACATGCCAGGTGGCAGAGGTGCGATGGCTTCTGTCACAGCCTGGACAGGTCAGAGTGCAACACAGCTCACAAAACCTTCCCACATACCTGGCACCCCCACAGCGTGGCTGTTGGGGTGTGTCTGGTTCAGCTTTCAAATGGCTCCTCTCCTCAATCTCCTTTTTGCAGAGAGACCCTCCCTGTTGAGCGAGGTGCCGACTCTGGCAAAAGGCCTTTCCGCATGGCGTCCCCCTCTGGCCTTTCTCCTGCGTGGCCTTTCTTGTGCTGGAGGAGGGTAGAGCTGTGTTTGAACGCTTTCCCGCACTCCGTGCACTCGTAGGACCTCTGCTCCGTGTGGAACTGCTGGTGCCGGTTGCGGTAGGACCTGGTGGTGAAGGTCTTCCCACACAGGCCGCACTCGTAGGGCCGTTCTCCAGTGTGGACCTTCCAGTGCTGGTACAGGCCCGAGCGGGTCACGTACGCCTTCCCACACTGCTTGCACTCATAAGGCTTTTCTCCAGTGTGAACTCTCTGGTGGAGAATGAAGCTCTGGTTGTATTTAAAGAACTTCCCACATTCCCGGCACTCATACGGCCTGCCGCCAATGTGAACTCTCCGGTGCCGGATGAGGGTGGACAGGACGCTGAAAGCTTTGCCGCATTCACTGCAGGCATAGGGCCTCTCTCCGGTGTGAATTCTCTTGTGCAGAACAAGGGCGTCTTTGCGGTTGAAGGTTTTCCCGCACTCACCACACTTGAAAGGTTTTATGCCTGTGTGAACCTTCTGGTGCTTCCTCAGTTTAGATGGGTAACTGAAGGCCTTTCCACACTCATTACACACGTTGGATGATCCTCCAGTGTGAATTTTTCGGTGATGAACAAGGGCTGAGTTCTCCTTGGGGGCATTTCCACCTGCTGGGCACCTAAAGGGTCTCTCTTCACAGTGAGTTACCAGGTGGTCAAGGAGCGCGAAGGCCTTCAGGAAGGCTTTCCTGCAACCGCTGCATTTGAAGGGCTTCTGTGTGGCGCGGACTCCCTGCTGCTGCTGCTTGCGACTGGAGCCGGGCAGGAAGGGCTCCCGGTGCCGCGGGCTCCTGCGCGGCTTCCCCTCGCTGTGGGTGGCCTGGAGCTGGAGGCGACCTAATGGGACCGGGGTGTCCTTCACAGACTCCCCACCCAGAAGGTGCTTCTCTGACAGGTGGACTCTGCAGCTCCTCGCCTGTTGCAGAGGGGCCTCCCCATTGTCCAGTCTATGAGGACAACCTGAAACAGAGACACGGCATTGCGGAGAGCTGGAGTAGCGGGCGGAGGCGCCTTCGCCGCCAGGGCACATCGCGTACACCCAGCAAGGAGCCCACAGAATCGCCAGGAAGAAGCAGGGAAATGTCTGCTGAGAAAGGGCTGGCCCAGCACAACAAGGCTCCAGCAGATCACAGAACAGGGAGCCCTCAACAAAGACGAGGACGCAAAGACAGGAGCGGTGGCAGGAGGCGAGCTGGGCCTCGGAGTCGAGTCACGTCTCCACAGCAGACTTCAAGCAGGGCCTGAGCCACTGGTGACCGTGAGCGTGGTGAAGAGGGAACAGGTGACAGTTGCAGAAAGAAGGGGAAATGACGAGACACAGAGGCCAGAGAGGCGGGCCATCAGGGCCTGGTCACGGTGGACACGGCAAGACCACACCGTGTGTCCACAGGGAAAGGCAGGGTGGGAATACGGTGCGGTCACCAGCCTTTGCACCAAAAACAGACACGGGACCCAGCACGCTGTGAGGGTGCCACTGAGACCAAAGCACCCCACCCCACTCACCGAGACCAGGGCCCCTCCTGGCTTCTGCTCTGCTGACCAGAGTCATGTCCACCATGTTGGGCACCCGGGGCTCTTCTTCACCCTGCAACTGGGCCACCGCATGGGGTCTTGAAGGTACAAATCCTAGGAGGGAGAGAGTTGAAGAGGCCAGCTGGCCACACACCACAGGAAGTTTATGTCACCCTGGCAACAAGAAGGAAACCAAGTATTTCAAAAAGAACTTTCCCTGTATATTTAAAAATTCATCGAAAGGATAGATCTCATGGTATATGTTTTACTACAATTTTTTTTAAAAGAACCTCTTATGAAGCGAAAACTAGCATAACTGAAGTAAGAAATAGATAAACAATAATAGCTGGAGATTTCAATTTCTAACTTTCAGTAAAGGGATAGAACCATGAGGCAGAAAATGGGCAGGGATATGGCACTTGAGTAACACTAAAAATCATCTAGAACTAACAGACACTTATAGGACATGCCACCTAATGACAGTAGATACACATTGTCACATCCTCTGGAATGTTTTCACTCTGGAACATTCTCTACAACAAACCACTTGCTAGGACACAAAACAAGCCTCAGTGGATTTCAGAGGACAGAAAGCATAGAAAGTACGTTCTTTGCCCGGGCTGCTGCGGCTCCGTGGATTAGGTGCTGGCCACCCTTTGGTTCCCATTCAGGGCATGTGCCTGGGTTGCAGGCCAGGTCCCCACATGGGGGCATGTGAGAGGCAACCAACTGACATATCTCTTCTTACACATCAATGGTTATCGTCTTCTCTTTCTCCCTCCCTTCCTGTCTCTCTAAAATAAATAAATAAAATCTTTTTAAAATTTTTTTAAAAAGAAAGTATGTTCTCTGACTATGAGGAAATTAAACAGAAATCGACAGAAAAAAAGGGGAAATTCACAAATTTATAGACTTTTACTAAGAAACTCCTAAATAACCACAAAGAAATTACAAGTCAGTTTCACTTTTTTTCTTTTTTATTTCATTTATTTATTTTTAGAGAAAAGAGAAGGGAAGGAGAAAGAAAGGGGGAGAAACATCAATGTGTGAGAAAACCGTCGATCTGTTGCCTTTCTCACACCTCCAACCAGGGACCCGCCCGCCGCCCAGGCGTGTGCCCTGACCGGGAAATCGAATCGGCGACCTTTTGGTTCACAGGCTGGCACTTAATCCACTGAGCCACACCAGCCAGGCACAAAGCGCTTTTAGATGAACGGAAATGAAAACGCGACATACAAATGTTTTGGGGGAAAGCAGTACTTAAAGGGGAAATGATAGCTACGAACACCTCCGTGCTGTTTCACGCACAACACTTGTGACACCCAGTCGGTGGGGACTTCTCCAGGCCACTTCTCCAACGTTGACACCGACCGGGTGTTTAGGGGCACGTCAATTCTGACACCAACTACCCAGAATTACTGTCAGACCCCACAGCTTAAGGGCTCAGTCCCACAAGTCTGTCCCCACTCCGGACATCAATGATAAGTCCCAGGCCTCCTGTATGTCTGACCGATTGGCTATAAGTTGGAGGTTCCCACCATTATTGGTCCCTCCTCAGGTTCAACAGTTTGCTAGAACTGGGGCTCAGAGAACTCAGGGAAAGAGGTTACTTAGATCACCAGTTTATGGTGAAGGACACAGCTCAGAAGCAGCCCAGGGGAAGAGATGTACAGGGCAAGGTGTGCCCCGGGTGGGGATCGGGAGCGGGGTGGAGGCGCGCCCGTGTTCCCTGGGGGCACCGCGGTCCCTGCACCTCCATGTGTTCACCAACCCAGAAGCTCTCCAAGCACCACTGTTTAGATGTGTTTATGGAGGTTTCACTGTGTGGGGATGACCGATCAAATCATTGGCTGGTGCTGACTCACCCCAGGCCCTCTGCTCTCTGTGGGAGGCTGGGGGCTGGGAGGACAAGGGGCAGGGAGTGGTGAAAATCCAACCTCCCAATCATGCATTGGTCTTTCTGGTGACAAGGCCCCATCCTGCAGCTTCTGGGGGTCCCCAGCTACCAGTCACAATTAGCGTACAGAAAACACTCTCATCACCCCAGATGCCGCGGGTTTTAGGAGCTGCGTGCCAGGAAATGGAAAGAAAGTCAAAATGCAAATGTATTTCTACCGAAACATGCATATTTAAAAGAAGACCTCAAACCTGTGATCATAAATCCCTAACAGGAGCAGGTCAGCATGGGTAGTCACATCCTAGGCCTACAACTTTTTTAATATTGTCCTTTGTTTCTGCACGTCGAGGTTAACAGACCTTTGAAATGCCTCTTTTCAGACCTCTCAAAAAAGCACATGATCTGAACTACATTGTGATACACTCTCTGCCTCACTTTCTTCCACCTTTATGTAATCTTCCTCCTTAATTTCAAATGTGTAAAAGAAACTGCAACACTGTTGTTCTCTCCTGCATTTGAGATCTTGCTCCCTGGCACAGGTCATCCGTTTTTGCTCAAATAAGCTCTTATTAAAAACTTAAAAAAAAAAAAAAATTCAAATCAATATCCTAACATTACATCTCAAGGAACAGAAAAGAGAAAGGCAACTAAACCCAAAACTAGCAGAAGGAAGGAAATAATAAAGAGTAGAAATAAATGAAATAGAGATTGCAAAAACACAATCAAGGAAACCAGAATCTGGTTCTTTGAAAAAAATCAACAAAATTGAAAAATATTAAACTGACAAGAAAAAACAGAAGACTCAATTTATTACAAAGATGACTGAAAAAGGCGACATTGCTAACAACTTACAAAAATACAAACTCTTCCAAAAAACAACAGAGGAAAGAACATTTCCCATTCACTGAAACCAAAATTACCTTCACATTCAATCCAAACAGAGGCATTACAAGAAAAGAAAACTACACCACTGATAACTCATTTAAAAATTTTTTTATTTATTGACTCTTTTCAGGGGATGCAGGGCAGGGGCAAGGGGAAGGAGGGAGGGGGCAGAGAGGGAGAGAGAGAGGCTGATTTGTTTTCCACTTATCCATGCATTCATTGGTTATTTCTTGTACGTGCCTTGACTGGGGATCAAACCTGCAACCTTTGTGTACTGAGACGACGCTCTCAACAACTGGGCTAGCCGTCCTGGGCACATTGATAACTCTTATGAATATAGTTGCAAAAATACTAGCAAACAAAATCCAAAAATTAATAAAAAGTATTATAAGGACAACAGAGTAGGCTTTATGCCAGTAATGCAAGGCTGAACATACAAAAACTAAATCCAGAAAGACATCATGTTAACAGGATAGAGGACAAAAATGACACCATAATTTCTATATACATGGGAAAGGATTAGACACAGTCGAAGGGCTTTTCATGCCAAATGCCCTCAATGACTCGGAAGAGAAGGAAACCTCACCTGACAAGGACACCTGCAAAAACCTACAACTAATATCATACTTACTAGTAAAAGTAACGTACTGCTTTTCCCATAAGATTGGAAATAAGACAAGGATGTCTACACTTACCAAATAAAATGCCGGAGGCCCTGACAGGGGCGGCTCGGTCGGTTGGGCACTGTCCCACAGAGCGAAAGGCTGCAGGTTCGATTCCCCGTCAGGGTGCATTCCTGGGTTGCCAATTCGGTCCCCAGTAGGTGTGCGTATGAGAGGCAACTAATGGATATTTCTGTCTTACATCCATGTTTCTCTCCCTCTTTTCTCCCCCTTTTCAAATTCGTGGCTCAAGCCTGGCCCAGGCAAGGCCCTATACGATTTTCTTTGGAGAAAGAAGGCAAAACTGGGAGCCGAGGGGCCACGGCTTCAGCAGGGTCACAGAAAAAGGCAGAACTGCGTGGGATTTGTTGCGAAAATTGCGAACATCTGAATCCCAAACCCTGGGGCCCTTCTGAGCCCCAGAAGGCCCTGAGGAAACAGGTGTGGAGGCTGCTAACCGGTCTGCTCACGAGAGAGGCGGGACAAGCACTGCCCAGCCCCAGTCCTGGGCACCAACCGGGGCAGCCTGAGAAGAAAGCAGCCTCCTTGGTGTGGCTTTAGGATGAACACAAGTTCCCACGGGGAAGACAGAGGTGGCCGGATTTCTGGGAGAGGTGAGGGCCTTACCCAGCGAGACAATGAGTGCAAAGTTCTCCAGCATCACATCACGGTACAGGCTCCTCTGGATGGAATTAAGGAGACTCCACTCCTCCCGGGAGAAGTACACAGCCACGTCCTCAAAGGTCACCCCCTGCCATGATGGATTCAACTGAGCCTTCGAGTCAACAGTGGGTAGAAAAGCCAACCAAAATGTAAACAGAGAAACACAGCCAGGCCCTTGACCGGTGCCTGCCACATCTCTTCTTTCGAGCCCCAATCCCGCACCCGCACTCTCATCCCCCTCTCCTCCTAAGATCGCTCCACCTCAGGGCATTACCAGGGCCCCCAATACAACTGGCGCCTCGCTCATGTTCCTCCTGGATTCTGCATCCAGTCCACAGAAACACGCTGGGGACCAGACAGATGCCAACTACGTACCGGACCGGGAGCACAGGCGCCCCCTACCTCCTCCTGCCGGCCAGATCCCCCTAACCTCACAGAGCTCATCCTCCCCTCCCAGGCACAAGCACCTGGTCCAGCTGCCCGCCAGGCACACAGTCCAGCAACAACCTCTCCAGTCCGCCCCAGCGGCGCGCAACTAATGGACCTGCCACGGCCCAGTTCTGCGCGTGGTGTCTCCGGAGTGACACGGCGGAGAGCAACTTCCCCGCCCGCCCGAGGCAGCACCACCGCCCGGAGCCACGCACGCATCTCCGAGCTCCGGCCCTGGTCCACCGGCTTTTGCTCAGCTGTCCCTCCCCTCCCCAGCCTTGCTCCCTCCTGGGCTCGTTCGGTAGCGGATCCCTACCACTCACCTGCGCCTCCTCGGCCATTGGAACCTGCGGGCAGAGCGTGGCTGCCACCAGGACGCGCACCCAGTGTCGGCTGAACTTGGCTGCCGCCCGGGCGCAGCCACCTCCGACCGCCGAGAAAACCTCGAAGCTCGGTCTCCGCCGGGTACGAGGTGCCGAGGGCTGCGGAGCCCCCTCCAGGGAAGCGGGACACGCGAGCCTCACGGAGACAGAGCCAGCCCGAGGGCGCCCGCGCGTGCGAAGACGCTGCGTGGTTCGTCTCCTTTCTCCTTCGCTGGCGGCGGGACTCAAGGGAAGTTGTCCGGCCCGCGCCGCACCCGCCAGAGGCCCGCACAGACTCGCCGCCCGCAGCAAACGGAGCACTGCCAGGGCAACGCCGGAAGTCCCGCCCCCCCCGCCCGTGCTGCCAGCGACTCCGGCGAGATGGCGCCCGCCTCTCGCTTTCTCTTCATTTCCCAGCTTCCCTCGTGGGGCCGCTTGCTCGTTGCCACGGCGACAGGGGAGGGCGTTCCCCGCTTCCGCAGGACTCAGAGAACTACATTTCCCATAATGACCTCACGGTGCGTCCGTAACGACGCTAACCGATGACGCCACGGGAGGTGGGCCTTTCCGGGCGAGCCGGGACAGCAAGGAGAGGCTGCCCGCTGTAACTTGGGAACCACAGGGGGCGGAGGAACAGGGTTGCTGCGCGACCGATGGCGTCCGGGAGGCTCCCGGGGCCCGCAGACCGGCGAGCCGGGAAGACTCGAGGGCCGGGTGTCCCACCGCACCCTGTACGCCCGAGTCCTGTACACCGGGTCCGCCGCGAGTCTTAGGGAGGAGGGGAGAACTAAGGCAGAGAGAACTGCAGCCGCGGGGCCGGGTGGGGGGGTGTTGGCGGGGACGGGGTGGGGCAGGGAAAACCGTGGGGCCGGGTCGGACCAGAGCATGTTTTGCAGAAAGCTCTCTGGTTCCCATTGCAGTCCACGCCCTGCCCAGGCCCCCAGCCTGTTTCCCCATCCGTCAGTCTGCACACTGCCGCCCTCTCGGAGGGCAATGGGAGGAGAGCTGAGAGAGGACCCAGGAAAGGTTTGCTGAGTTGGAGGGCCCACGAACGTGGCGGGGAGGCCGTGTGGCCAAGACGATCGCTCCTCTGGTTAGTCCTCTGGACATCACCTGTCATGTAAGGTCCCCCCTGTGCCTCAGGTGTTCCCAGTGCATGCTTGGTACGCAGCAGGCGCTCGATAAATACTTGTGGGTTAACGAATTCTTCTTGCAAATAGAGTGTTTATTGTCGCCCGCTTTAAGGAAGAGGGAACCAAAGCCTGGCACATACAGCCCTCTCCGGCACCATGGGGGCCCTGAGGGTGACCTGCTGTCTGGGTGTTCGCAGGACCTGGGAGGAGGAGCAAGTGTGGGACAGCAGAGATGGAGTGGGCAGAAGGGAGGCCTGGGAGAGCACAGCTCCAGGTGGCCGCCGAGGCTGAAAGGCAAGGGGGCAGGGCAGTCCCCCATGATCCTGGCCCGGGGGTGGTTTCGGGCAGCCCCTTTGTTCATGGGCAGTGGGCGGGCAGGCATCGAGGTAGTAATCAGCAGACAAGGATGCTCAGCAGTCCCTGGGCTCTGTCATCAGCCTCATTTTACAGGAGAGACTGAGGCCTCAGGCCCCCAGCTGAGGGTGAGAAGCCATGCTTCCCTGTAGGCCCTAGGAGAAAGCTGGTTAGCACAGGGAGCAAGGGGCCAGCCCTATCCACTACCCTCACCCACCACCTCATTGCCTCAGTTCCCCCTGAGTCAGTGCCCGCTATCATTTCCCCTTAGAGTCCTTGAAGGTACAGTTCTGAGGTCTCTTTCTTCAGAGTCTTCCTTGAACACCTTCAGGCAGAGACCACCATCTCTCCCTCTTCTGTGCACTGCCAGCCAGGGGTTCCTCTCCCATTTACCTGGCTGGACCCATCCCCAGAAGGTCTCCCGCCCCCACCCCTGCACCCCAGGCAGGAGAGATGGAATGAGGAGGGAGCTGAGAGGCTATATAAACGGAATAATGGCTCCCAAAGATATCCAGATCCTAATCCCTGGAAAGTGAATCTGCTACCTTGCTTGGGTACCTGATAGACTTGCAGATATGATTTAATTAAGGACTTTGAGCCAGAGATTATCCTAGATTATCTGGGTGTCACCACCGTGTCCTTATAAGTGAAAGAGAAAGGCAGAAGTGTTAGGGAGAGACCCGAAGATACTACGCTGCTGCTTTGAAGATGGAGGAAGCCCAGGAAAGCAGCTTAGAAGCTGAAGAAGCTAAGGACACAAACTCTCCCCTGGAGCCTCCAGCAGGGACAAGCCCTGTGGACACCTGGACTTCAGTCCAGTGAGACTGATCCCACGACTTCTGCCTGCCACACTGTGAGATAGTGTGTATTGTTCTAAGCATATAAGGTGGTAGAAATATGTCGGAGCAGCCAGAAAAATCTACAGATTGCCATCCCTGCTCCTGCCTGATCGGGTCCCCTCCCTGTGGGGCTGGGCTGTGAGTGACATTGGCACCCAAGTGTGGGACAGGAACTGGTCTGGGAAGACACTCCCTTGGACGTCGTGCTGTTTCCGTGCTTTCCGCCGGGAAGCAGCAGTTCGCATCAGGAGCTCCGCTGACTGCCTGGATCAGGGTGGCAGGCCGCCGTGTGGGCCCAGGGTGCCCACCGGTCACCTGCAATGCTGTCACTCTCCAGAAAACTCCGTGGCATTCACTCTACGCCAGGTGCTGAGGACACACAGGTAAACAAACCAAACAGGAGTCTCTCTCTTTTTTTAAAGATTTCATTTATTTATTTTTAGGGAGAGGGAAAGAAAGAGAGGGAGATGAAAACATTGATCACTTGCCTCTCACAGGCTCCCAACCCGGGACCTGACCCTGAATGAGAACTGAACCGGTGACCTTTTGGTTTGCAGGCTGGCGCCCAATCCACTGAACCACTCTGGCCCAGGGCAAACAGGAGTCTCTAGCCCAACAGGAGGGATACCGGAAAATGCTGGAGGCCCACCCACAACACACAGCACCCCAACCCTGGGATGAGCCAGGATGGGAGTTTCAGGGCCTGGGGGTCAGAGCAGGTGACTCATGTTGTCCTGAGGGTGGCTGCCATCTACTCTGCCGTGACTAAGCCAGGAAGGCTTCTCAGGGGAGGAGGACAGGAACCAAGAGCTGCCCTCCCTGGAGGCAGCTGTCCACAAGGAGTGAGGCTTCACCTGGGGGCCCAAGAGGAAAGGCTGATGAGGCCCTGGCAGAGGAGGCGCAATAACTGGCCCTGAGGAATGAATGGAGATGGGGGTGATGGGGACTCCCGTGGCCACGGAGGTCCAGGAGCGACCCCCCAAATCATGTGACACTGACCCAGAGGGCAACCTTGGCCTCTGGGAGCCCGGGTCCCACTGCGGCCCCAGGCCCCCAAAGCGTATCAGGAGGATCCCGGAAGCCAGGGCCCATAGAAGGAAGTCAAGGCCTCCATGGAAACTTGGCTCTCAGCACCCAGGTGGCGGCCAGTCTTTGAGGCTCAGCCAGGTGTGCAGGGTGGCAGCCCCGACAGCTGGATCGTCCCTGGTCCCGCCTGCAAGCAGGGGAACATAAAACAAACTGCACCACCTGGGCCGGGGCCAACCGTGCAATGGCCCAGTCAGGGGGGCGTTTCCAGCAATAGCAGTGGCAGCAGCCTTGCCCTCTAGGGTCCAGATGGGACCACCACAGCCACCGCAGAGGATCCCGGCAAGCGGTTCTGGCAGGGCCACCGAGATAACACCGGGTCCCCAAGACTGGAGACTGGATCTGCAGCGGAGATGCGTTTACTGTGCCCCCCATACCCTCCCCCGGCCCCATGGCCCAGGGGCCTGGCCGCGGCCGTCCGCTGCCTCCCACCCGCGGCCTGAGGGCCTGTCCAGCGTCCCCTCCACCTCCTCTGCGTCCCCGGGGCTCCTTTGGGGCTCCAGCGCATCCTCCGCAGACCCCGGCAGGACAGCATCCAGGTCACGGTCCGTGGGGCCTGGCGTCCAGGCAGGGGTCCAGGGTGCCCCGGGCGTGGGCTGCGCCGGGAACCGGGAGAAGTCAGGCGCCGGAGCAAGGGCCACCAGCTGGGGCCGCGCGGGGCCGGAAGAGGCGGCATGAGGGATGAGGAAGAAGATGTAGACACCAGAGACGACCAGGCCGGCGGTCACCAGCACGGCCAGCGCCACCGCGGCGTTGAAGGCCCAGGTGGGGCTGTCCAGCGTCAGGCGGCGGGACAGCGGGCGGCCCAGGCGCAGCGGAGGCGGGGGCGGCGGGCGCACAGGACGTGCCTTGCGCGACCCGGGCGCAGGAGGCGGGCGCAGGTAGAGGAGCCCGCGGCGCCGGTCGAAGCGCACGGAGCCTTGGCGCGCGGGCAGGGCGCGCGCCTCGCGGGACAGCAGCCCGGCTTGCGTGGGCAGAGCGGGCAGCCCTCCGCGCTGGGCCAGGCGCGTGGGTGCGCGGCACATCGGGCAGGCCACCGCGTCGCCGCCGCCTGCCGTGGCCAGCGACAGGCGCGCCAGGCACTCCAGGCAGAAGACGTGGCCACAGTCCAGGCGCTTGGGCAGCTTGAACACGCCGTCAAAGGGCGACACGCAGATGAGGCACTCCACAGGGGACGCGGGGGGCAGGATGGGGCCCGAGCCCGGGGTGCAGTCCCCATCCTCCTCGTCCTCTTCCTCCCCCCGGCCTGGGGACCGGGGCGTAGAGAGCGAGCCCGGGGAGCTGGAGCCCGAGGCCTGAGTGGCCCTCGGGTGGCGGAGCCAGGGAAGCCCAGGGCAGGGCATGCGGACCGGGCCTGTGGGGAGAGGCGGGCAGGCAGCGACGGAGGCGGTGCAAGGCTGGAGTCCGCACGGGGGGTCCCCTCAACACGGAGCAGAGACGGGATGCGGGGGGTACAGAAGAGACTCAGGGTAGTCGCTGAGGGAGGTGTCCGAAGTGGGGAGTAGAGGCAGGATCAGGAATTTGGGGATGAGATGGGGATAGAAGGGAAGAGAGGGGCTCTGAAAAGGCCCGGGGACAGGGAGGGACCCAGGGGTCACAGCAGGTTATGAGCTGGCCTGGGAGCACCCAGTCAGGGGCTGAGAGGAACTGAGTGGCTCCAGGGGGCACCCAGACTGGCACAAGGAAGAACAGATAGGACCCCCCAGGACAGCTGGGCCGACAGACCCTGTGGGAACTCTAGAGAGAGACGTGGAGGACCAGGAGCCTCAGCCCCGGTGCCCAGCAGCAGAGCAAGGGAGCCCCCAGCAGGGGTCCCAGGTCTCCACCAATGACAAACCCCAGCCACCAGACCCTTCCTACCTGTGGGCGCCTTCTCCCTCTGGCTGGCAAGTCCCGGCCAGCTCTGACCCGGATCCTTGGCCTCCCGTCAGTGACAGAAGTGCCCCTCCCTGTGGGAGGGAGCCCGAGGTGGAGCCACTGCCCTCCAGGTCCCAGGTTCCCGCAGGACTAGTCAGACTGCTTGTCCCGCCCACCAGGATGAGCACAGGGGCGGATGTCAAGGGGGCCGGGCAGGAGGTAACACGGGGTGACACCGCGCGGGGACCTCAGGTGAGCGCTGCCCCCGCCCCGTCCCCCCAACCCGATGAAGCCATCTGGGAGGTCCTGGTGGAGGGCCCTGGGCTGCAGCCAGACCACGTACCGTGGCCAGGGAGGCAGCCTGGAGCCCGTGGGGTGGGGGACGACCTGGCCAGTCGGCCCTTGCTGGCCAGCAAGAGGGGCTGGAAGGGGTCATGGCCCAGACCCCCGCTTGGCTTCCTCCCCCTGGGCTGCTTCTAGGTCTCTCAGGATGGTAAGCGGCCACCCAAGTCCCTCCCCAGGCCAGAGTCACACTCCTGTGAGGATCACCTCGCCTCTCATTCCCAACCAGCCGGAACACTCCCGGTGGCCAGGCCCGCACCCCAGGGTGCCGCGGTGCTGAGTCAGTAGTGCTTTCCTGGGGAGCCCAGGTCCCCAGAGACCCAAAGACGAGCCAGGGATGTGATCAGCTCCTCAGGACTTGGGCTGTCCTGCCCCAGCTCCCAGAGACCCCCAAGGACAGACAGTGGCACAGGAAGGTGGTGCTGCCCAAGGGGCAAACAGGTTTATTGGGGCCGCATCCAGGGATCAACGGTTGGACTTGGCCACACGCTCCAGCTCGTCTTTCTTCTTGATAGCGTAGGAGTTGGAGGAGCCCTGGAAGAAAGCACACGGTTAGCTCCAGACACGGCAGGACCCGCCTTGAGGACCCCCGGTGTCCTCACCCACCTTGGCCGCGTTGATGAGCTCATCTGCCAGGCACTCAGCGATGGTCTTGATGTTCCGGAAGGCAGCCTCACGGGCCCCTGTGCACAGCAGCCAGATGGCCTAGGGAGGAGCACAGGGGTCCACTAAGCCTGGGACGGAGGGTGCCCCAAACCAGGCACACAGTCCATCTGGGCCCCGCAAAACTGCACCGCTGCCCACTGGCTCACGAAGATGAAATGGCAGGAGCCCACAGTGCTGCCAGATCTGGGATCAGACTGAGGGCCACAAAAGTTAAGTGCAGACAGAAAGGTTGAGGCTGGGTCCCCGATTACAGGAGACTGGAGACCTGCCATGACAGGGAAACGCAATGTAACGTGTCCTCTTGGCCTGGACCCTTGACTGTCAACGAAAAGCCATAAAGGGTGTGCGGGGGACACTGAGGGAACAGACACTCCATCGCTGTTACATTCCTCAGTGGTGACAGCAGGGATAGAACGTCCATGTTCTCTGACACCCACTGAAGTTGAGGGGGAAATGGTTAGAATGCCTGCAACTGGTTCTCAAGTAGCCCCAGACAGACAGACACAGCACACACACAGACAGTGTGAAAATGTACACCAAGATCAAATGGCACCTCAACCCAGTAGGTCCAGAGGTAGTATATGCCCTGCATGGGGTAGGAATCCAGGAAGGCTTCCTAGAGGAAATGACACTCCCAGTAAAACATGCAGACAGGCATGGATCTTCCCGCGTACCAGCCTCTGCCCAGGCAGGACACTGCCAAGGTCTGATTGCTGTACCAGCCCAGCCACCTGTGCCTAGAGCCCCAGGCCCACCTGATTCACTCGGCGCAGAGGGGACACATCCACAGCCTGTCTCCTCACTGTTCCTGCTCGTCCAATTCGGGTTGAGTCCTCCCGGGGGCCACTGTTGATGATGGCATTCACCAGGACCTGCAGGGGGTTCTGGGAGGTGGGGGCACAATGAGCCGGAGGTCCGGCCAGGACCCTACTCTGGTCTCCTCACCTCTGAAACCTGTAAGAGCCCAGCACACCACGGGGTGGCTGCTGACTTTCGGGTTTGCTAACAGGCACGCTCTGCCTACCTGGCCTCAGGCCCTACCTCGCCAGTGAGCAGGTGGATGATCTCGAAGGCATGCTTGACGATGCGCACAGTCATGAGTTTCTTGCCATTGTTGCGGCCGTGCATCATCATGGAGTTGGTGAGGCGCTCCACGATGGGGCACTGCGCCTTGCGGAAGCGCTTGGCTGCATAGCGCCCTGCGCTGTGCGGCAGGTACTTGGCGTACTTCTCCTTCACGGCGATGTAATCCTGGGGCAGCAGGGAGAGGAGACACTGAGCACCCACTTAGACAGCGCCACCCACATATGGGGTCTTGGTTATGAGCCCCTGGCTACCACAACAACACAAAATGTAAACTACTATATTTTTTTTCCTTTTAAGATTTTATTTATTTTTAGAAAGATGGGGGGAGGAAAAGAGAGGAACATCCATCAGTTGCCTCTTGCATGCCCCCAACTGGGGACCAGACCCTCAACCCAGGCATGTGCCCTGACCAGGAATCGAACCAGCAACCTTTCAGGTGGCAGGTTGGTACTCAATCCACTGAGCCACACCAACTAGGACACAAGTGACTTTATAATGGGAAGGGGTGGGGTGGAGAATTACGGCGAATACAACAGGTAGAACAAAACCACCCAGTTTTGTCTTAAAAGTGTTCCTGAAAGGGCAGTACGGACATTTCAGATTAGATAATTCTTGGGGCGGGGGGCGGGGGAGGGGGCGGGGGGGGGCCGGGGAGCGGGGAGTCGCTGTCCTGTGGGCTGCAGGACAGTCAGCAGCAATGCTCTTGGTCTGACACCCACACCACTGGTTTAAAAACAAAAAACAAAAAAACAAACACACACACAAAAAATCCTTTCTCTATGTACATACATTTCCCAAGAATATGTCTAGGAAAAACCGAAGTGCTGGGGAGGGGGCTGGGATCAGGAACCATGTGGGCATTTAAAGGGCTCACAATAGTCCTACTATGAAATATGCCCGAGGCCGTTCTATAACTCACATATGAGGATGCAAACAAACATTGTTTTTCTAAAAATACAAGGAATAACAAGGAAAGGACACAGGGGAGGCGGATCATGGCATGACAGCCTGGTGCCTGCGGGAGGGAACCAGCAGCACACACAGGCAGGCGGCCCGGGCGAGTGTTCGCCTGGGGCTCCACAGTGCGGGGGGGCCTGCAAACACAAGCTGCCCCGTCCGGGTGCCGGCCGAGGGCAGAGCCCTGCGTAGCTTCGAACAGGGGGAGAACTCTGGACTCACACTGACCTCTGCTTCTCAGGCCCTACAAGAGCACCAGGGAAAAGTGAAAAGCTTTCACGCTTTTAAAGGGTTGTACAAAAAACAACAACAAAAAAAAACCAAACACGAAAGCCTGGAAGCAAACACATATATGGCAAGAAACCACGTTATGACCTGCGGAGACGAAGGTATTTACTACGTGGCCCTTTAACTTTGCGGGTCTGCCAAATAACCCATGAAGGAAAAGGAACTGCAAGACACTTGCAGTGAAAAGCAGGGCTGAGTTCTCCATCAGACAGGGTATCCAGACGTCATTGTACATTTAGAGGCAGTAAAAACGTTTTCATTCCGTTAAAAATACATTTTAGAAAAGATTTTGTTTCTTTTCAGAGAGAGAGGAAGGGAGGGAGAAAGAGAGACACACCCATCAACAGCTTGCTGCTTGAACGTCCCCAACTCAGGCATATGCCCTGACAGGGAAACAATCGGCGACCTTTTGGTTTACAGGCCGGCGCTCAATCCACTGAGCCACACCAGCCAGGGCTCAATTCCTTATAAAATAAAAAGGGGAATAACAAATAATTCAAACAGAACTTTATCCATCCCCATATAAATGCAGTCACAAATACCGTTTTTGTTTGTGTATTTTAGGAAGGACCCACAAAATGCTATGAGGCCAAGTGCACACCAACATGGAAGATAAAGCAACGAGGCCTCCCACTGTCTGATTTCAAACCTATTACAAAGCTGCAGTGATCAAGACAGCGTGTCAGGCCCTGGCTGGTGTGGCTCGGTGGACTGAGCTCTGGCCTGTGAACCAAAGGGTCACCAGTTCAATTCCTGCCAAGGCACATGCCTGGGTTGTGGGCCAGGTCCCCACCAGAGGGTGTGCGTCAGGCAACCACACGTTGATGTTTCTCTCCCTCTTTCTCCCTCCCTTCCTCTCTCTCTAAAAATAAAAAAAATAGTAATAAAATTTTTTTAAAAAGGGGTGGGGGGGGTGGTGCGCCAGGCCCCTGGCCAGGTAACTCGCTTGGTGAGAGCATTGCCCCAATACATGAAAGGTTGGGGGTTCAATTCCCAGTCAGGGCACATATAAGAATCAACCAATGAATGCATAAATGAGTGAACAAATGAATGTTTCTTTCTTTAAAAAAAAAAACAAAAAAAAAAACGGACAGTGCCAGGCATGAGGACAGACATATAACCCAACAGAACAGAATCCAGAGCCAAG